ATTTTTAACTTCGCCAAATCCACCTTACCTTTTTCAGGGTTTGACGATAGTATCTCCTCCTCCTTAGGATTCGTAACTTGCGTTATTATGGACGTGTTGTCCATGGAAAACAAATGCGTTAGTCCTCTTTCTTCCCCAGCAGCAAGCTACTAACTCCGCTAGTTTCTTCTCCACTTCAACTGTAGTCGAGCTAACGATAGAAGGCTAACGAAGGGTAGCGACGGTGCCCGAGACGGAGAGCAGAGACGAACTGGCTAGCTAACGTTAAGTCCTGAGGAGAAAAATAATACAGCCGTACGATTATTGTAGTTATTATAGCTGTCTACGGTCATGGGGAATCAGGCAGTCTTGCTTGCAAGCTAACAAGCTAACTAGATAACGTTAGCTCCGTCCGAGGTAGCTGCTAACTGAGTTTGCAGCCAGCTTTAGTTAGCAAACCGTTTTGTTTTGAAGTCAGCTTTCGGCCACTCGCTCCCTCTTAAACGCGCCAGTATTTTTAGCACCGAACTGAGCTTCGCACGTACTCATCTGCTAAAGGTTAAATATTCCCAAAAAATGCCTAAAAATGTTCTGAAGATGAATAAAATAAAACAAAACAAACAAACAAAAAAACTTCGCGCTATTCGCGCTGCTAGCTAAGCTAACCTGGTCGCAGCTAACGTTAGTTGTTCCAAACTATAAAAGCAATAGTAAACACGGGCTGAGGAAACAGGCCGCTTCGTGTAACGGTAAACACGCCTGATTAAACGTAGTAAATGTGGAGAGGAGTGCCTGATATCCAATAATAATATACGTTTAAGTCGTCAAAAAAACCCGTGTTTTAAGCCAAAGGTCTGTTTTCTGTATTCTGCTTCCAATATGGTGGCGGCGAGTGTTTGAAATTCGCCAGATAGATGTGAGGAGACCTCCTCCTCCCCTCACATTAAAAATAAAAGCATGGTCCAGCTGCGCGCTCATCGCTTTCAAGGACTTTTATGACCCCAGGCGAACCGTTCAATGATTATTTTATCCATAACTGATGTTATGCTTGACGCAGTTGAATAAAAACGCTTTAATGTTACGAAAACATCATCGTCCGGCCACTTTTCAGTGCATTTTCATTCACATTTTAAAGGGGAACTCCATCGATTTTTCTAAACGTCTACGTAATTAAATGGCTGGGATGTAAACAGAGTCATTCAGAGTGGTTTGGTGTAAAACGCTTCGTGCTATAAAAACTTACCGAGTTAGAATTGTTCACAGTGGTGGTGATAGGAACCAGACGTCTGAAGAGTTCAATGTTTCTAAAAGCTCCCTAACAGAAAATTATTACATATAATGGTTAGATATTTGCTGCTTGACGTCTGAGACATTGTTTTATGATAGTTTTGGCAGAAAAATGCATTTTAACACATTCCTGGCGGAGGAGTACATGTAAGGCAAAATAGTCCCAAAGGAAACCTTTTTTTCCCAACGTTACTCCAGTTTTACCATCATCAACATTACATATAAAAGTTCAGAAGACACGTTTAGGTTTCCTGGTGGTGTATCTAGGAACTAGGTGTTGCGATGTCCACAGTACAAATATAGCCATTTTATTTACCATTGACATCGCGACCCCTGGTTCCTGTAAAGACATCAGAGTCAGTACGTTCCTCTATAATTAACTGTTTCACACCAAACCGCCCTGAATGACTCTATGTACATATCAAGGACTGAATTCTACAGAAATTTTGAAAAATGGGTGGAGTTCCCCTTTGTCATAGAGTTGAATGCCTCGTATGCTGTGTTATTTATATCTTTAATTTCACTTTCACACATTTGTCCATAACTACTGTGGCCTTACCTCACCAAAATAATCTGTTTTTACAAGGAGATTTACAAAGATGAACTAAAATATGGCTAAATGCATGTTTTTATTTTAAATGTGGTATTTTCCTTTCAGCACTCTTTGAGATGTAGTCCAGCTCCCTCTAGTGTTTAAACACTGACAGTGCAACATAATTATTGTACGCTCGAAGTGAACGTGCTCCATCAACCATGCCGTAAAATCAGCGGTGTTGAGATGTCTCTGTAAAATGGTCACCTGTGTCCAACCAGTGATGGATTAACACCAGATGGACACAAATTAACACTTTAATTAAACCCTGAAGATTTATTCCAAAGAATAATAACCCATCTAGAAAAAATATATGTATATACTGTATATATTAAAAATACATTTCAAATACGTTGCAATTCATGGTGAAATACATTCCAAACACTAAAATGTATTTCAGAATATATTTCCATATTAACCAAATATATTCTGAAATACATTTATTTTAAAATGTATGGAGAAATATTACACCTAGAAATGTACCACACAAAAAAATGAATGTATGTAAATATAGTACAGTGTGTTCATGTTAACCAAGTTAAAGGGGAATTCCACCAACTTTTCTAAATTCATTCAGATTGTTTTGATTTGAAATGATGCATTCTGATAAAACTTACTGCCTCAAATTTCTTTTCAGTGGTGGTGATGGGAACCTTGGCTCGCACTCTCAATAGTGCAAATATAGCCATTTTGTTCGCTATCCAAACTGACCAGAGACTCACATTAAGTTTTATATGCAAAGTTGATTGTGAAAAAATAATTTTAAATCTGATGTTTACTTTGGCGTCTATTTTTCCTGACAATACCCTTCGTTTATTTCTCCACCCTGCATTTATTTGACAAATATCTTTTACTAAAAGGTATTTGTAAAACAAATGCAGGGCAGAGAAGTGAATATAGAAATATAGAAAAAGAAGTAAATGTGAGATTGTACAAATATGCTGCCTGATGCCTGACACATTGTTTTATGACAGTTTTGTGATAAGGCTGTGGTGTAAAACGGTCTTAGGCCACAACCTTATCACAAAACTGTCATAAAACAATGTCTCAGACGGCATATTTGTACCCCCTCATGTAATAGCTTCCTAAAAGGTAGGGCTGCCCAAATTGTCTCCCACGAGCCAAAGCTGGCTTGTGAGGCCATTTGATTTGGCCTGCCAGAAAGTTACCCTAATCCACCACTCCCTCAGCAAATGATATGATGCTATATGTAACTTTTTAAATTCTTATTTTCTGTTTAAAGTTGTATTTTGAAGTATTCTGATAACAAAATATAATCTAATGTTCTAAAATACATTTTGCCCTGTTGAGGTGGTCCCATGACCACCATTGTAAACATTTCTGACTCAGTTATTTTTTCTAGAATTATGCATTTCATGGCAAATCACTCTGAATGACTTTGTTTACATCTTAACTTCTAAAATGGGGTGGACAGGTGAGAACCAGAGGTTTTATTGGTGTGGCACACTGCAAAGAAAAAATCGAAATAAAATAGCATTTCTGCATTAAAATGACACAAAAAGTGATGCGTTGTTTTTTCTGTGCATAACTAAATCTATCCGTACCTGAATTAAATATAGCATCAGCACAATTATTGCCAAAAGTAAACAGAAAAGCAAAACTGTGTTGATGTAACTTTTTATTATTGACAGCAAAACACAGCATGCAGTATCAGATGCATATAAAATATACAAATATAGTATATACATGCACACATTTGATAGGGGGATATACATAATTACACTAAAATACTGAAGTACATGCATGCTTTAACAGTTCTTATAGCTTTTTGCTTTAAATAGGGCTGGATTTGTTCAATATAATGTTCCATCTCCTTTTCGAAGGTGACAAAAATTGGCCTTTTGCCTTAGGATATACACTTCTGAATATAAAACTGAGCCAATAAATGCATGTGTTGATGTAACATATTTTAGTCATTCCTGAGGAAATAATGTATTTGAATCAAGTGAATTAAATGCATCACTTTTGTACAGTGCATAACTTCGACTTTAATAAAAACATTTTACTCACGAGTCTAATGATTAGAAAGCTAGCCCGACAGCACTGTGTCAGGAAAGCTATGCATGTGTTCAACTGTAAAAAGTAGTTAGCATAATAAACGATTATAACAGGCTAATTTTTGATAGTTAACTCATCTAACCATCTCACAGCTTACTTCATAATGTAGCTCGCCTTAAGATACACTAACTATTAACTGCAGCGCCATCAGCCTAATAAAAAACAAACAAATAAACAAAAAAACAACAAGCCATCACAATTAATGTAAAAATACCAGATGTTTAAAATATCACACGTGGCCAGCGTAGGGTTCTCCTTTAGCAGGTGTAGCCAGTCAGCAGCCTGTCCATGTTGTCCACCCTCACACACACACACACACATATGCAAACACATACACACACACACTAACAGCAGGCCATATAGGAGGAGAACAGAGTGAAGGACACAGCACCTCCACACTTTTATTCCCATGGGTTCACCCAACACCACATGTGTAATACAAATGTGTGGGGGGTGAACAGAGTGAAGACACTGAAAACGTGTTATTTTATATGTTCTTCAAAGAAAATGAGGGAAGGCCAAGAAACCTGAGGTTGAAATTATAATAAATCGCATCATTTTGTCTTTTGGTAAACATTTAAAATGTTTACCAACACCACACAAGGGTTAACGATGGCCAAGCTTCTTATTAGGATGGCACTGGCCACCCTGGCCACCTCTTGGCAACACCTCTGTTTAATAGTGCAGACATTTTGAAAAGAAATGGTGAAGTTACCCTTTAATCTTGGTGTCTTTGGGCTGTTTGAATGCATTTGTTTTTGTTTGTTTGTGCATGGAGACCAGCTGGATGTCCCACCAGCGTCAGATTTTGCATGTTTTGGATCATGATCATCATGTTGGGTCCCCCCAAAGAGCTAAATGCATGCCCACACACACACACACACACACAACTTAAAAAAATACACAGATTATGAACGCCGTGCTCCACTCAGGTTCTCTTTTACATTTAGCTGCATTTCAGTGACGGGCAGCACTGGAGCCCTCCCCCCCTTTACTGCAGTACTGGACTGAAAAAAGAGCTAAATATACCCCCCTCCCCACATCTTACACCACGACACCCCGCACCTCGCAGTTCACAACATCCACACCAGCCACCGCACATCCCCACTGTACAATCAGCACGGATGCATTAAGACAAACCCAACACTCATCCCCCACCTTTTTCTTTTCTTTTTTTTTCCTTTATTGTGGGGGTCTACATCTGCTCTCCAAAACTGCTTGACCTCCTCAGAAAAGCGGACCTAAGGTCAGTATTTAAAAGCTCATCTTCACTTATAGGGGCTACTCTTTCAGTGCAGTGGACTAGCGCGCGCTGTGCATCTCTGCCCTAATCAGCACTGCCTTACAGTGGCATTTCCAGCGTGCATGCGCTTCTCTTCACCTCCGTCCATTAAAGCTCGCTCATAGTGCTTTTTTTTTGCTTTTTCTGCTCAACTTTAATGAGCACCCAGTCAAAGCTGGCTTTACAGGGGTTTCTTGTGAATTATCTGCTGCTGGAGATCACATAGCACAGCAGATGCCGCGCGCTGTAGCTAAAATAGGAAGAAGGCTGTGCAGAGCAGCTGACGGTGCTCTTTCTGAGGAGCTGTGAACCGAGGCACTCCCATTTAAGTCACTAACTCTCGAGCCTACAGTCCGCTGGGGTTTAATGGGCGAATGACTGTACTTCTATAGAACCAGCTTGAGTTTTTGATCCACCTTTCCACCTTTATGCGCTTGGGCTAAAGAATGAAGTTGCATTCATGTCCATGTCTAAACTTTTCATTTACATTCAGTCTATATGTTGTCGGAGCACAGATCTGACGGAAGTGTTATCAAATCGACTAAACCATATGGATAAAAGTTTATTTTTCACCCTCCACTAAAATTCTCGCATTAAATTCAGTCTTTTGGTCACGTGGGAATGCTATAGATAAGCCCCATTGTGACTGAAAGTATGAAAATTAGATGTCAATCATAATATAATTCAAATGATTGCTGTTTGATGTTCTTTCAAGGCACAGCCATACAACATTTTCTCACTTTCGATCAAACAGGACAGAAGCAGTTTTCCATGTGGTACTAATTTTAGGGGGTGAGCATGAATGAGTTAATTTAAAGGGGAACTCCAACCAACTTTTCAAAATTTCTACATAATTTAATGGTTTGGATGGAAACAAAGTCATTCAGAGTGGTTCGGCCTGAAATGCTTCGTTCTAGAGGAATTTACAAGTCAGACTTGTTCACAGTGGCGGTGATAGGAACCAGACGTCCACCTCTATAAGCTCCCTCGCAAAACATTATTACACAAAATGGTTATGAATACGCTGCCTGATGTCTGAGATATTGTTTTACGGTAGTTTTGTGCTACATTTTTGGCATAAACGTCTCGTCAATCCCTTTATTTTAATCCATTCAAGGCGGAGGGATACATGCAGGGCAAAACAGTCCCCAAAGATTTACTGTTTTTATCATCATCAACATTACATGTATGCACTCAAAAGACACGAGTAGGTTCACTGATGGTTAAAATGGCTATATTTGCATTACAGACGTGGACATAAAGACACATAAGACTTCAAATGAAAGGCTAAAATTGACTGAATTAATGGTTTGCATGGTTATTATAATGTCCATGCCCGTTTCTGACGCAACCTGGGCTAGTTGGTCTGGCTTGCAATCTACAGCTTTCAGAAAGCAAATAACTTGAGCTACTTGCTTGACTAAGAATGGCCTGGGTTCAATTCCCGGCCGGGCGACCAGGGTCATTTCTGTGTGGAGTTTGCCTGTTCTCCCCGCGTCTGCGTGGGTTTCCTCCGGGTACTCCGGTTTCCTCCCACGGTCCAAAAACATGCAGTCAGGCCAATTGGATGTGCTAAATTGCCCCTAGGTGTGAGTGAGTGTGTAAATGTGTATGTCTGTCTGTCTGCCCTGCGATGGACTGGCGACCTGTCCAGGGTGTATCCTGCCTTCCGCCCAATGACAGTTGGGATAGGCTCCAGCACCCCACCGCGACCCAGAAGGATAAGCGGTTTAGATGATGTATGTATGTATGTATGTATGTATGTATGCATGTACTTGCTTGACTGCATATTTGAGAGTATTATAAACTAAAAAAAAATTAGAATGGTGTAATCTGGGTGAAAAGCATTAAAACCTGAGGCGCCTGTTCCATTAGGTTGACAGCCTTTCTGACTGATTAATTCACAACAACGTTTCAGCTACACAGTCATGCAAAGACATCACTGCGTAGACTGTAATGTGGACAGAACACCATTAAAAGCCAGGAGAAGAAAACTCACAGGTGTTGAGGGGGATTTTTTTTTAAAAAACTGACATATTAGTAAAGTAATTCAGAGTAGTTTGTTGTGAAATACCGACTCAGAATTGTTTACTGTGGCTGCACGGCCACCGAATGTAACTGGCTCCAAAGCTTTAAACGACATCAGGTAAGGGTGGATTAATGATTGCTGCCTCCGCGCGATCGACGCGCCAAAATCAGTCAGCCAATCAGCGCGCGGAACTGTTTGGAACGTTCGAATTCCACTGAAGGAAAAAAACAAAACAAAACTCACGCGCTGTTACCGTTATTAGCATCTTGATAGCTGTTGTTCCATCAAACGCCTTTAGCCTCTTATTATAGATTATAAAAACGATGGTTTTTTGGATATAGTTACATTTTATGTTTAGTGTATGATCTTGTTTTTTTTTCCCACCGTAACCTTCATATTTTGTGAGTAGGCTTTTCTTTACACATTAGCTTTCTGAGAGATAATGATAGTGTAATTGTAAGGATAAGAAAAATAATAAAAATCCAACAGAACTCTTTAATATGGATTTAGAAACGGTTCTCTGCACGTTTGGGCTCTACAAAGACAGTGAAATATCAATATTTTAACATGTCTCACATCTGAACATACAGTAATGTTATCATTGTTCTGTAAATGAAATGGTTTCACTGTAAGGTAGTTAGAAATATAACTTAGCTTGGTTTATGGTGACCAAACCTCTCAGACAATAGAGTAAGAGAAAAGTTAGCTTGCGCTGCTAGCTGGTCATAATAGGTGTCGTTACATGAATGTGGCTTAGCTATATATTTTTTTGTCTGTTTTATATTCATACTTTACAGATAATATAGAATGGGCTAACATTAGGGCTGTTATATGCTAGTGTGGCCTAGTTATCCACTGATCAGCCATATTATTAAAACCACCTCCTTGTTTCTATGCTCATTGTCCATTTTATCAGCTCCACCTTCCATATAGGTGCACTACAATTACAGACTGTAGTCCATCTGTTTCTCTGCATACTTTGTTAGCCCACTTTTACCCTGTTCTTCAGTGGTCAGGACCCCCACAGGACCCTCACAGAGCAGGTACTATTTGGGTGGTGGATCATTTTCAGCACTGCAGTGACACTGACGTGGTGGTGGTGTGTTAGTGTGTGTTGCACTGGTACGAGTGGATCAGACACAGCAGTTGCTGTGAGTTTTAAGATGGACCAACAAGGAGTGTCTAATAGTGTGGAAAGTGGACATAGTGTTTACAAACTCCAGCAGCACTGCTGTGTCTGATCCACTCATAACACACACTAATACACAAGCACCTCGTCAGTGCTGAGAATGATCTACCCAAATAATACCTGTTCTGTGGTGGTCATATGGGGGTCCTGACCATTGAAGAACAGAGTTACAAAAGGCTAACTAAGTATGCAGAGAAACAGATGGACTACAGTCTGTAATTGTAGAACTACAAAGTACACCTATATAGTAAGTGGAGCTGATAAAATGGACAACGAGTGTAGAAACAAGGTGGTTTAAAAGTTATGGCTGATAAGTGTATAATATTTATTTGTCTGTGTTTTTGTTCATCAACACAACTGTCCCTCTTTTGTATCAAACAGATTCCCCTCAGAATTCGGTGCTAGATTTTGACAATGGGGATCAAGACAGCCCTTCCTAAGACTGAGCTCTACCTCTACACCTCTGTCCTCGCACTAGCTCTTTTATGGGCAGGCAGTTGGATCATAGAGGCATCAAGTGGTAAGTCATGCCATCTTTCTGAAAAGTGATGAAAATATGGCTAACACAAGGCCACACTCAATTCTGAAGGGTTGTGCAGTTTTAGCCTGTGGCGAGGATTAGACTATATTATCCCTGAAGGAAAAGACCCAATTAATGTTGTCCCAGTAGTGCCTCTGAACCATTTCTCTCATCGTCATATACTGAGATGAATTAACTCTGCTAAAAATAAAATAACACATTTAAATATCGTTTCACAGTTGTAATTGCAGTATTATATATTGAAAAGCATCACTTCTGCACATATCATGGAAAAAAAGATATAAACTGTGCTCTGTATTTAAGGTCTTTCATTTTTCCATGTCATCACTGACCTGTGCAGCATGCTGACCTACATTTTGCATGGACAGGCAGTTTGGTTTAGCAATTGAAGGGTGCCAAGCACTGTGCTGGCATGAGAGCAAAATATATTCTGCCATCAAATTCTTAGAAAAGTCATTTGTTCATAGTGAGTTGTGCAAATGTGGCAAAATCGATCCAAGAGTTAACCCATCACCACCCTCACACAAAAACACACACCACCAGCACCAGTATGCAGTGACACATATTATGTTATGATTATTTGCATTCCAAAAAACAAACAAACAAGATGTTCCTGAAATAGATCTGGTGCCCTAGATTACTGCAGTGTTAAACAAATATCTTGTCCTAATCAGTTTGCTCACAGAAGTCCATACAGTGCTGTGCAAAAGTCATAGATCACCTTTTATTTATTTATTTAATTTCTTGTTAATACAACCATTAAGTCCAAGTTCTTCATTTTTCAGCATCAGGAAAAAAGGCAGAAAGCATCTATTTCCAATAGATTTCCACAGAAAATTACACATAAACATCAACCACTAGATACAGTTTAAAAAACTGTATTTAGTGTATCCACTCTTTGCTTTAATTACAGCTTCCATTCTTTTTGAGGAGGCTTGCTTTGAGTTTTCTAAAGAAATCTGCAAAGAGATTTTCCCACACCATACAATGAAACTTAAGACTTAGAAATCGGTTGTATTAATGCTTCTTACAATACAAGTAATCCCAGCAGCTTCTTTGTTTGATTCACATTTTCGTCTATTTGTTTTTCTCTTTGTCCATTATCTATTATCATCCTTTCAGATCCATAGCGCTGAGTTGTCTGGAAGGATGGACAAAAACAATGGTGTATTTTTTCAGATCTGAAGCAAGAGTGGAGCTTGATTTTCTCCTCTCTCTAAAAGATCAAAGCTTTAAGTACTTTTTATCTGATGGTGGCAGTTATGATGGTCTGCCAGGTCATCCACAGCTGTTAGGAGTTTTCTACATATCTTTGACCATTAATCAACTTCTGTTTTTCATTTATTTTGACCTTCACCTTCCTTATGCCAGTGGATTATTTTTTACCTAATCTCAGACATATCTCCTGAAAAATGTATATCTTGTACTTATCATACATTGAACAGAAATATAAATGAAGGGTTGTGTCTGACAAAACTGTACTTTCTTGTGCTATGTAAGACTTTTCCAAGTCTATGTATACATTACATAGATATACATAATGTAGTTGACATATTGCACATTGGACAAAAAAAAAAAACTAATAATTGAGATGCAAATTAAAATATTTGCTTTGTGGAGGCTGGAATGTGAAGTATTTCCCTTTGCTTTACAGAGAATGTAAACAGGAAGACCTTTAAGGAGACTGTAACACCAGGATGGCACTACTTTGGAAGAAAAATGGTAAAAAAGACTACACTGGAATCATACATTCTAAGCATCCTTACTGAGAGAGCTGTAGATATAACCATGAAACCGAACTGTCTCAATTAGCATATATATCACGTTTTTGACTTGAACCACACTACGTGTCCAAAGAAGTGTTTAAAGACACTTTATCGTCCGACATTTCTTCTGAAATCTAGGATGTTGACAGGGAGTTTGTCCCCTTTTATGTAGTAACAGCCTCTACTCTTCTGGGAAGGTTTTACACTAGATGTTGGAACATTGCTTTGTTGATTGCATTCAGCCACAAGAGCATTAGTGAGTTCAGGTACAGATGCTGTATGACTATTCTACTACCCTAACAACAATCTAAGGATAGTGGTTACACCTCAGATCCACACAATTCCACACTTGTCATATCACCAAACACACTAGCTGCATTTCAGCTGCAGTTCAACCAATAGAAACACCTAATGTCAGCTCAACAGCTCAGAAATTGAGCCCAAGTATTAATGAACTTGCAGCAAAAAAAGGATGCCAAGTGTCTAGTTCAAGCAAATAGATTCAAGCAAATATTTCAAGTATTCTACTACAAGTTCCTATATTTTACTGAAATTTTTGCTATGTTGAATAAACAATGGCCAGTCCGGGTTATAACACTCTTTTCTACAGCCCCCAGATTGGTTGAGATTTTTTGATATGGCTCCTTTAGTGGTTGAGTTTGACACCCCTGCGCTAGCTGATGATTGGCATTGTGTATGATGGCCTTAGGCTCATGTGCAGATGCTTCACAGCCTCCAGTTCCACTGGCAATAGTCTAGATACTTTTGGACATATAGTGTGGTGATCATTGTTCTACGATGAAATCTCACCTGCGCATTAATTGATTTTCTCTCTCTAGGATGTGACTGACTTTGAGTGGGCGATGTGGTTCACTACTTTCCGCAACCACATCCTGTTTGCCCTCTCTGGCCATGTAATCTTTGCCAAAATCTGCTCCATGATTTCTCCCAAGGTGGGTATTTGTTCCTGACATTGTTCCTGAGAGCTCTCCCAGCAGTGCTGTGCTGTAACATTAGTAGCTATTAAAAATTCATGTGCATTTTAAGATTGCATCAGCTGGTATACATATCAGTTGTGCTTTGGAAGCTGATTACTAAAGAAAATGTCAATTGTGAGAAATCCATAACAAAGCTACTCCTTATTTCTGTGCATTGTAATGTTATATGCATTGTTGTTTTTCTGTTTTCTGCTTCCACTGAAGATGGGTATTGATGGGTGTAAGGTAACAATTTTGAGGCATTTGAAGACAGATTTACATTAGGTCCTCCTAAAAACTCTGTGCTTATTAAAGGATTACTAACTAGAGAATTACTTAAAAAAGTATAATTTTACTAAGTACATGTGCATCATAACTCAGGTATATTGTGCTATTACCTTATTAATTGGGACATAGATTTGTAAATGAATCTAATTTATACATCTTTTACTTCTTCTAATACACCCCCTTCATGATAACCATTTAATGATATCCTAATTCGTACGTTCACACATTCTAGAAAAAAATAACACTAACATTTAGTTATGCTGTCTTTCCCTGACACTTATCTAATGCCATAGCCTTTCACATCCTGATCCACAGAACAGGTCGCTGATCTACATGCTCTATGGCTGCTTGACGGTGCTCATCATTATGGGCTGGACATACATCTCTCTCATCCTGTCCCACTGCATCATCCTCTACAGTGTGGCCCTCATCAAGAGGAAGTGGCTCTGCTTTGTGGCTGGCCTCACCAGTCTGGCCACCTTCAAGATGGAGCCCTTCAACTCCTGGCAGGTGAGTGATTGCACTAATGATTAACTTTTTAAACTCCAGATTTATTATTCAGTTACTAGCTCTAAGGTTTATTATATTATATTATTATATTACTCAATAAATACTACTGATTATTTGGTAACTGTTATGAAACTAATATGTAATCTATGTAGTCATGAGAAAGAGTTGCCTAAACCGTGCACAGTTACCTGGAGTTTGGCGGTTAATTGTTAGTAGTAGAGCCATGCACCACACAAGCACAGAATGGTCTAAAGTCTTCACACTGTTTCTTCATTTTAGATCTATCTAAACTAAGTCTGAGTAACTTAATTAAGCTTTGTTATTTATTCTCTGGGTTCTAGGCTGGTTTTGTGACTGGCACATTTGAGCTTCAGGATATCCTGTTCTATGGAGGCTGTGGGTTCTCCATCATGCGCTGCATGAGTTTTGCCCTGGAGAACTGTGAGAAGAAGGATGGCAACTATACCTTCATGGATTTGATTAAGTACAACTTCTACCTCCCCTTCTTCTTCTTCGGACCCATCATGACTTTTGATCGATTCCACGTCCAGGTATTTCCCTTGTACTGTTAATACCACTCTGATACCACAACCATCAAGCTTATTTGTAACCATTCTATTTCTGTAAAATGTATATCTGATATTCAGATATCATCTGTGCATTGATATAGTTCACTACATAACACTGTGTTCTTGTATTTTCAGGCTAATGACCCTAACTTGACACGTAAACCCAGAGAAATGTGGAACATAACCATCCATGCTTTGGTGCACCTGGGAGCCATCTTAGTGGTGGATGTGTTCTTGCATTTTCTGTATATTTTGACCATCCCAAGCGACATGAAGCTGGTGAAAGAGCTCTCTGACTGGTCTTTGGGTCAGTTTTTTTATAATAAAAATGAGCATTTTATTTATACCTGTTGCAAATACATTGGATATTACCAGTGGCAAGCCATGATTACTAGAGTTAGGCCTTCACTTCGGACACACACGCATTTAAAGATTATAAAAGACATTGCATATGTTTTATTTATATTTTCAAGAGACATCAACATATATATTTACCTTTCACCAGCTTTACAGTGTGTCTTTCGGTTAACACCCCTGGCATAGAATTGGCAATACTGTTCTCCATTGCTAATGACTGATTAAAAATTATTTAAACTACCAGTGGCATTCACAGTCAGTGATGTATCTAGGAATTCAAGAGAGAACAATGATTTTTTTCTCACAAAATTGGTCCCACCCCTTGTTAATTTAAAACACGATTCATTCATTCATTCCACCGTCACTTCCTAATGATGTTGGTAGTTAATCTAAAGCGTGAGGCCTTCTGCCCAGCTCCTGAAGGCCTAACCAGTGGAAGAGCTTGCAATCCACGTAGATGTTGCAGGGAAAAAAAATCCTGATTGGACAAAAGCCCTGTTGTTACAAACCAAAACTTAAACAGTGAAATTAAAATATTACTGGATTACCTGCAGAGTTCAAATACAGCAAGCATGATGATTCCATTAAATAAAAAATAGGCCTTAACTACATTCTACACAGTACATACTATTTTCTGGGTGGGACTAATGAATGGTTTTTGTCATTCTTCCAGCTGGTTTGGCCTATTCCAACCTTGTATATGACTGGGTGAAATCAGCTGTCATGTTTGGTGTTATCAACACTGTGTCACAACTCGATCACCTGGACCCTCCCCAGCCTCCTAAATGTATCACCATGCTGTATGTCTTTGCTGAAACGTAAGTATTCGTATTTATCTTGCACTTTAAATGTTATAGAATAGTGTAATTATTTTTAATTAACAATTTTTGTATCGTTTCCATCTCACAGGCACTTTGACAGAGGAATTAATGACTGGTTGTGCAAGTAAGTAATATTCATTCATGTCAATCAATATATATGCTCAAAATATTTTTGCCAGCTAGTTTTCTGTTTTTTGTTTGTGATAATTCTGCAGAATATAGTACATTGTATACATAATGCAGTACTGAAAGATTTTGTATTTTGCTACTTAAAAAGCTTCACTGTCAGGGCCAAACCTTGTATCTCTAAGATGGTAACTTAAAAACTGAAAACTGAAAACTGAAGGAAAAAACCTTCTTTACCTCAGTGGAAGTTTTTCCAAGACATTTTAGACAATTTCTAGTTGACCATTCATTATGAAATAATGAATTATTCACACAATGTAAAGAGCAATTTCAAATTCTGTAAAAAACAAAATAACAAACAAACAAAAAAACAAGGTTGTGTCTTGACACTGGTGATATGTAATTAGAAAACTTGAATACATTGTAGCTGGACTCAGATCTTTGGCAAGCACTAGGATTTTTTTCTTTATGAGTGCTTCACATGCTTGTATCTCAGATATCAACAGGTTTAGAAATTATCATCCTTTATTTACTATCAAGGTACGTCTATGACTACATTGGAGGCAATCATGATGGAATCTTCAAGGAGCTGGTTGCGACAATCTCTACTTTTGCCATTACAACTCTGTGGCTTGGACCCTGTGAACTGGTCTATATTTGGTCTTTCTTCAACTGCTTTGGCCTGAACTTTGAGCTGTGGGTGGCTAAGCTCTTCTCTCTGCCACCTTTGTCTACTATTGAGGTAAGATTCTGGGAACACCCTAGATTGTAACACCTGTCAGTCAAATATAGCTTAATCCTTTATGATGGACAGATTGGACTCTTTGTGCTGAATGAGCAGCGTCTCACCAAGAGAGACAGAAGTCTTAAATCCACCAAAGAAGAACAGTTGTTTGGGCCTTATAACATCTTAAACTCCACAGAACTGCCGGTGGTTACAGACTTGCATTCATCACCTCTATAACTCAAGAATATGCTTTGTTTTCCTTGTAATTGCTAAAAATAATCGTAATAATGTAATAAAAATAAAAGATTTTAAGAGGTGAATAATACAATTTAAACTTTTTGTGATAAAGCTCAATAAGGACAAATGGCATTATCATATTCTTGTGTTTAATTTCAAAGGGTGTTATGTCTGAGGCAATGTCACGCCGCATCAGGGGATTGTTCAATGCTGTCAACTTCTGGCAAATTGTCCTTTATAACGTCCTCGCCCTGAACAGCCTTGATTTTGCTAAGCTGGTGGCCAAGAGACTGCTTTTCAAGGGTGAGTGACATATTGTACTGTAATAATATGCAAAGTAATACAGAATTACTGAAGTATTGCGCAGAAGCAGAGCACTATCCACAGTCCAATATAGTCAGTACATTTCTTTAAGCTTAAATGTGTTTTTGTGCAACAGTAAAACATTCAACAGAGACACTGCCTTCTAAAACCAGCTGTGTTTGCTTTTATTTCTCCCTCAGGCTTCCCTCTGTCCACTCTTTTGGTGCTCTTTGTGACCTACTGCGGCATTCAACTGGTGAAGGAGCGAGAGCGAAAACTGGCTCTCCTGGAGGAGCCGGAACCGGCAGAGCCTGGCAAACCCAAAACTGATTAAACAAGTGCAACGTGACGGTTCACTGAGTCCAAGCTTTCATACCAAACCTGAGCAGCCCCCGTCACCATGACCACTGCTGAACACAAGCCTGTTTTTTAAGCACAAGGCGTTTTTAACTGTGAAAAGTCCTCAAGTGCACTTGCTGTGTAAATGCCAACTGCCCTTTACCACAGACTCTCACATTCACACACTGAAACCAAGTGCATTTTTTTATTTAATTCATTTTATTTAAAACTATATTGGATCTTCAGAGAATGGGCTTGACAAATATTTTATGCAGATGTAATATATAAAACCATTAAAGCCAGAAATGCCATTTTGTGTTTGTCTGTTGTTGTTCTCCTCATCAAATTTGGTTTAACCTAATGTATGAATTAAAAATCAGTTATTTAGGCATTTTTCATGGAGGCCCTGTTTGAAAAGCAGCGTCACTAAAAAGCAAAAATGTCAGAAACTACACAAATGGGTTCAGCCTGTGAACTACAGTTACCCTTGTTATCCTCAGTGAGAGGATTAACTGACACAGTTTTGTATTATTCTGTCACATGATACAATATGGACAAATGTGTCTGTGAGAGTGCCCTACATCAGACTGCGGGTACCACAGGGGAAATAGGGTCAGTGAATAAGCCTGTAACCTGCACCAGCTACAGATTTTTTGGCTGTGCTGTAGTACAATAAAATGTATGATGTGGTCTTCATAATCTAGAGAAATCTAAATCTGACAGCCCAGCAAAACTATCACCATCAGATACATGCTGCTTCAGATCTGAAAACATACACAGGTGTTTCTGACCATCCCACACTATGAGAACACAACACTATGGGTCTGAAAGGATGTGTAGCTGAAAGTAACTCAGAAACGGAAAGAAACAAAAGATAAAGTTAAAAAGACATTGACAAAAAAGGAAACATTTTGAAAACATAAAGGCTGCTGATGTTTTCAGAACCACCACAGAGTCTGCATCATTGCATATGTTCGTGTTTACTTTTGTTTGGATTGTGAGAAGCAGAAAATGCAACCAGCTACTGAACTGAACAATATTCCTGCAGATTTATTTGAAAAACTGAAAGCATGTCTCTAAATGCTGAATAAATTCATATTAAATTTTAAATGTAGTTGTTGACATTTCTGTTCAATATGTTTCTGTTCTTCTGACACTGAAAAAATAATTAATAACTTGTACTTAGTGGCCTTTTGTCTGGAAATAAACAAAAGAGTGATATGTAATAAATACTGCAATCCAAATTGACAACATGATGTACTGTGAGGTTTTGATATCTGATCATCATTCCATGCTCTCCAGTTAAGTGAGACTTAATATTCAATTCACAGTGCAACCTGCCTGCTAGTGGCATAGTGTTTAAATCAAGCAAAAGTCCTGTGGAAGAGTATATTGTGACTGGTTCCTTGGAGAGCTGTTAATTTGACCTCAAACCAGGACTTTGCTCAACAGTCATTGTTCTCCCACTTTAGTCAGTAAGAACTTTGCACCCCCAAGAAAAACACTATGTTATCTGTAAGACCTAATGTGTGATGGTCTTCTTTGGCAACTTGTCAGCTGTTTGCCTGTTGGTGAAGATGGTGGAGAAGAAGTTGGGGGGGGGCAGAAGACTCGGGTTACAGCTTCTCCAAATGTGAGTCCTACAGCTTTGCTCAGGACTAAAAATAAACACAGCTGATGGTCCATGACAGCTGAACGGAGAAGCCACGCCACCACGCCAGCCTCCATTTCTCTCTCTTTGGGTCACACAGTTAATGCAGTCAGTCCAGCGGTGGGAGAGGAGACCCAGACCCTCCTACTGCCATATCACGCTAGTGCTCCGAAAACCCAGACAAGATGGCCGCCGAGCTAGTAGACCCAGTGACGGAGCCGCGGATGTACCAGCAGACACTCCTGCAAGATGGGCTCTGTGAGCTTCTGGAGAATGACAAGTTTGTGGACTGTGTCCTGAAGATCAATGACCAGGAGTTCCCATGCCACCGGCTGGTGCTTGCTGCCAGCAGTCCGTACTTCAAGGCAATATTCCTCTCAGACGTGGAGGAGAGCAAGAAACGAGAAGTTGTGCTGAAAGATGTGGACCCGGGTATCATGGGGATGATCTTGAGGTACATCTACACTTCTGACATCAACCTTACTGAGCAGAATGTCCAGGACATCTTCATGGTGGCCAACATGTACCAGATCCCTTCTATCTTCAGCGTTTGCGTGTCCTACCTGGAGCAGAAGATGGTCCTGAGCAACTGTCTGGCCATCTTTAGGCTGGGGTTACTTCTGGAGTGCCCCAGGCTGGCCGCCACAGCTCGGGACTACATCTGCGACCGCTTTGAGCTCATTGTCAGGGACAAGGACTTCCACCAGCTGGGCTCCGGAGAACTAGCTGCCATCATCACTTGCGATTCCCTGAACGTGGAGAAGGAAGAGACAGTCTTCGAGGCTCTGATGGACTGGGTGGAGTACGATCCAAGGGAAAGGCTGAAGGATGTGCCCGACCTCCTGCATTGCATACGGTTCCGCCTGATGGCGCCAGTTTACTTCAAGGAGAAAGTGGAGGGGCATCGGTTGATCAGAGTCAACCAGGAGATCAAGAAAGAATTGCAACTGATCAAGGATGTGCAAAGAGGGAAGCTGCCTAAAGTCAAAGGGTCATCCGGCAGGAAGGCAGGAGCCGCCGGAGCCGCAGAGGATGGGGAGGATGAAGATGAGGATGAGGAGGAGGGCCTGCTTCCAGGCATTCTGAACGATAACCCACGCTTTGGAATGTTTCAAACAGACTTTATTCTCATGATCAGCAACACGGGGACAGTCGCCTACGACCCTGCTGAAAATGAATGCTACTTAGCATCCTCATCAACCGAGATCCCAAAGAATCACTGCAGTTTGGTGACGAAGGAGAATCAGATCTTTGTGGCTGGAGGTCTCCTATACAATGAGCAGAACACAGAGGATGCCTTCAGCTCCTACTTCTTACAGGTAACATTACAGGAACACTGTTATTCATCTTTCCATTATTCTTTTCCGTACCTTGTTCCCTTCACGACATGACTAAATTTATCTGCATTACAAATGAATATAGTATGTCATACATCACTGGCTCTAAACACAATCAGTGATTCATCTATTGCTCATCAGGGATCAAAACAGCTGTTACGACTACATAGCTCATCTATCAATGTGGCTACATTTTGCATGACACACTTTGACTTCATTACCATGTTATAAACGTCCTGAATTAGCAGTTTGCGCAACTCAGTGTATGTACTGAAAACCACACATCTACATTTTGTAAGTGATCACAGAAAGGAACAGCACAAGCTCATTTGTATGCTGTACATTGTCTTATGTCTCTCTCGGCCAGTTTGACCCCATGAGCTCTGAATGGCTGGGGATGCCCTCAGTGCCCAACCCCCGCTGCCTCTTTGGGCTGGCCGAAGCCAACAATTCCATCTTTATCGTGGGTGGAAAAGAGCTGAAAGAAGGAGAACACGCATTACACTCTGTTATGATCTACGACAGACAGTGAGTACAGCATGGTCTTCTTACTAATGGAATAAAAATCCCATCAATTGATTTCCTGCCCAATTATGTCGCATTTGCTGTGCAAAAGTCAGAGACCGCCCATTTACTTAATTTTCAGTTAAAACAGCCATTAAGTACAAGTTATTGATTTTGGAAAAAATGTTACTTTTTTTCCAGTATGTAATGTTGCTTTTATTGCAGCTTCCATTCTTTTTGGGAGACTTCTTTTCGGTTTTGCAAAGAAATCTGCATAAATCCGAGTCTCCAAAGTTCGGTCTTAGAAGTTGCTTCCACTTTCTGCTTCTCACAGTCCATAAAATCTTACTTCACATCTCAGATGTCCATTTTCGATGTTGCAGTGCAACTTTTCTTCTTTTTTGTCTATTTCCTTTTCTTTGTAACAGCTTTTTGACAGCTATAAAACTTTTCAGACCCATAGCGCTGAGTCGTCTTCTCACAGTGGAAGGATGGACAGAAACACCTGTGGATGTTTTCAGATCTGAAGCAGCTTGATTTTCTCCTCTCTCTCAAAGATTTAAGTGCTGTTTATCTGATGAGGACAGTTTTGGTGTCTACCAGGTCTTGCGGGTGTTTGTTAGGAATCTCATTTTCTCTGCATTGGAAACTTATTTGCCTGTAACAAAAATGAATAACTAGTAATTAATGGCAGTTTTGACCAGAAACAGAATGGACAAAAAGGTGGTCTCTAACTGTTGCACAGTACTACAAATGTCCTTCAAGAATTGTTAATAATCCTTCTTAAGAATTTAGAATGACACTATCTGTTCTTCTTTCTTGCCCACAGATCATTCAAATGGGGAGAATCAGACCCTCTTCCATACTCAGTCTATGGGCACGGCACCGTCTCTCATAATGGGCTCATCTATGTACTGGGTGGAAAATCAGAGAGCAAGTATGCTTGTCTTTCTTGTCTATTCTAACCTAAATAAGGGAACACTTTATCTAAGGGTGGCAGCCAGTTAGCATTAGGCACTTGGTCATGATTTTATTAGCATTTTTGGGTGAAGAATTGCCTTTACAAATACATAATGCTCTTTACAAACTAACTGTATATTACTGCAGAGAAAATGTCTGAGGTCATGCCCTCACCTGAAGGTTTTATGTTGTGTTAAAGGAAGTGCTTAAGGAGAGTATGTGTTTACAACCCATCTAAGTTTGAGTGGAAGGAGCTGGCCCCTATGAAAACTGCTCGCTCCCTGTTTGGTGTTGCCGTCCATAATAACAAAATCTACGTGGTGACCGGAGTCACCGACAACGGCCTGACCAGCAGCTCAGAGGTTTACGACATTGCCAAGAATACGTAAGTGACACATCTCAAACTGCCATGGCAACCTCTTAGCGGCATTGCTGCCTAAAACCGCTAGCATTCATTATGCTAGTTGTCATGTTAGGTAACGTTCTGTCATGTAATGTTATAATCTTCTTAGCACTGCATCCCTCAACCTCATCAATTTGACTCACAATTTTGTATCGTTTTTGTGTTTTGGTGTATCAGTGTTCTCTAACTACAATACCCAGCATGCAAGTGGGAACCATCTTTTTATGGCAATACAAATGACAACTGCTAATATATAGTAGCTTTTAGCTAATGGGCATCCTTCTGCATTAGTTAGTAAGGAAGAAAAAAAAAAAAACAGTCCATCCCAAAGGAGTTGTAGTTTTCCCAAACGATCCTCCCACCTTCAAGATGCATCATCAGAAGGTGGTTTTCTTATTCTTTAAATGGGAAAATCCTACTGTAGAGGTCACTACTTATGCTAACCAGTGTGGAGATCCACAGGACAACAGAAGTAAAAAAGATGGTACTTTAGGGGTTCTTTAGTAAAGGCAATGGTTTTATATAGAACCATAAATACTCAAAGAACCCTTGCATGATTAAAGGTTCTTTGCTTCATGAAATGTTTCCTCAGATTGATGAAGAATGTGCTGTATATGGTTCTATATAGAATCTTTTTGAAACGGTTCTATATGGCACCAAAAAGGGTTCTTCTATTGCTACAAGCTTGACATCACAATAGAAGAACGCTTTTTGGTAATACATAGAACCATTTTCATATACAGCCATCTACATTGCAGCAGTTTCCATCATTTCACCATGCAAAGAACCCTTTAGTCATGCAAATGGTTCTTTGAATGTTCATGATATAGAACCATCATATATCATATATCCATGATATATCTTTACTAAGGAACCCTCAAAGAACCATCTTTTTTAAGAGTGCATTTCATACTTAAAGGTTTTTTTTTTGCATCGTGAAATTGTTCTTCAGATTGATGGAGTATGTCTTATATGGTTATATATAGACCAAAAAGGGTTCTTCTATTATTAAAAGCTTGACATTGCAACAATAGCAGAACCCCTTTTGTTGCTATGTAAAACCATTTTAAAAAAAGGTTCTTTAAAGGACCATATACAAACATTAAAGAACCATTTCAGTATGCAAAGAACCATTTAAGTATGAAATAGTTCTAGAACTCATCGTTCTAAAAAAAACACTGCATTTACTAAAGAACCCTTGAAGACCCATCTACACTGCAGTTCCTTCGGACTGTAACCATGCACCAAATTACGACATAGATGGTAATGTTTCTATGGGAAAGCATCAAAAGTTGTCTCATACGTTCCTGATGTCGCAGGTGGTCAGAGTTCACTGAGTTCCCTCAGGAGAGAAGCTCTCTGAACCTGATTGAGCTGGCCGGTTGTCTGTACGCAGTGGGAGGCTTCGCCGTGATGCCCAATGACACCACTGAGAAGCTGGAGCCCACTGAGATGAATGATATCTGGAGGTGAGTCATCAACTATAATATAGATGCCTTTTATTAGAATTTTATCACTGTTTATCACTGTTTTATCACTTTGACTGACTGTCAAAATGATGGCTTCTTTTCTTGAGATCATGACTATGTCAAAATAATTGCCTGAGAGTTTGACTGTCTAAATATGGTTTGTTATCCAGAAATTATGACTAATTATGTCAAAATAATGTCTTATTTGTCACAGGATATTTCCACAATGTTAAAATAGTAAATGTGCAGCACCGGCCTTCATTATTACACCCCTATAACATTAAACACACATTTACAAATGATAAAAGCTGTTATTCAACTCCCTATAAAAAATGCTCTGTTACTTTTGCCCCAAATCAGGAAACCATGGGTTATAAATACATTGCCTCATGTCTGAGAATTATTTTACGATCTTCACACATTTTAAAATAGGATTTTGGCCTAAAATTAGTTTTTTTAAAAATAGTTCCCAAAGGAAACATTTTCATATAAAACCTTAGAAGACACACATAGGTTCATTGGTGGTTTTGCATAGTAAATAAAATGGCTATATGTGTGTTGTAAACATTACAAACTTACACTACACTACACTGTACCTACACTGTAAAGAAATCAGTGTGTTTCTCTACAATGAACAATATCACAACAAACCACTCTGTAAATGTCTGTTTACATCTCAACTATTGAACTCAACTGTACCGAGATTTTGAAAAATCAATGTAAATCCCCTTCAATGAACCATTTGTCATCTGAATGTGTGAATCAAGTTGATATGATTAGAGCTGCAATGAAACTCTACAGGAGAATCACCAAGAGCAAAGCAAATAAGAACACTTTGGTTAGACATAATTGTCTCTTCTATGTTGAACCTCAATTATCTCCTGTCCATTACAAACTTTTGGCCAGTAGTGAAGGTAATCAGCACTGTGATCTAAGGCCAGTGGTGCCTGCATTCTTTTAAAGAATCATAACTGAATCGAATCACTGTAATATTCATATAAAGATGTACTGTGCCTCACAGGTTCGATGAAAAGGAGAACTGCTGGAACGGGATGCTGAGGGAGATCAGCTACGCTTCCGGAGCCACAGTATTAGGAGTGCATCTCAATGCTTTGCGACTCACCAAGATGTGATCGACAGCATTCATAAGCTAATAGACAGAAATGTACATTCATTTTAGAGTACTGGAATATACTGAGAGGTTTTAATGGTCACATATAAAGTGCACACACTTTCTGAAGATAATGTATGTTCCTGGAAGAGTGTAAAAGCCGGACAGCAGGGGGAGACAAAGAATGGACCACTACAGGATTTCAAAGCAATGCGTGGAAACATGAACTCATGGTGAACTTTTGGACTGCAGGAAAGTTTGATGCAATTTACATGTCCATGTTTGTGTATTTGTATTATTCACATCTTTATTTGAGTTATGCTGAATTTGAATAATATTCGCTCTATGATTTCCATGTGAAAAATAACAAATGTAGTAGTTACAATGCGTGACATCACAACAGATTGGAATATAAAGTTGGTGAAAATACAGATATCCATATGCCATCCACTTGCATGATGAAACTGAATGATATTTGGCAGTCTAATATGTACTGCACAGTGCAAGAGTCAGAGAACACCCTGCATTTACTTCATTTTCAGTGAGTAAGTTTTCAGTAAGTTTTTCAGTGACAAGAAAAAAAAGAAGAAAACATATTGTCGCTGTCCAAAACAAAAAAAGCAAGTGTCTCCATTTCTCTTGATTTTTATTTTTCTATGACATTTGAAAATGGTAACTGTCCTTTACGTGAAAATTTTGGGATGAATAGACCAATAGAAATGCTCCAAAATCATTTGGAATAAAACCTTAACATTAACATATTAAAAGTTAAGAATTCCTTCTTGTAAAGTTACTGTTTTGGAGATGTTTTTCTTTGGACAGCGATGATACACACAGACACACCATAGCCACTCATCCTCTTGTGTTATAGTGAGTGCTGGAGCCTATCCCAGTGGTCACTGGGCGGAAGGCAGGTAACACCCTGTACAGGTGGCCAGTCCATCACAGGGCAGACACACAGCCATACACATACACACACACACCTAGAGACAATTTAGCATCTCCAATTCACCTGACTGCATGTCTTCGGACTGTGTGAGCAAACTGGAGCACCTGGAGGTTTCACGGAGAGAACATGTATTCTCCACACAGAAAGGTGCCTGGACGGGGAATCGAACCCAGGCCCTTCTGGCTGTGAGGTGATATAAAACATTCAGTATCTATTGTGTCCTCTTTGCTTTTACAGCTTCAATTCTTTTCAGGAGACTCACTATCTCACAATCCCAATTACAAATTTAGGCTCACCAGTCTATAAAACTGTACCCCACATCTCAAATGTGCAGTTTCAATGTTTTGACTGGAAACTAATTTAATGAAGGGTGGTCTCTGACTTCTGCACAGTGCTCCACAAACAAAGAAAAATGAAAGGACATAACTGTACACAAAGCAATTAGTGTTCATCCATCCAAAAAATCTGAAGTACATGAGTGTTGAGAATCAACAAGGATGTTCCTTTAGGTTTTTACAGATATAATAGGCAGTACAGTAGATGACGGAATATAAACATCACCTTTAGATTCCATAGTTTCCATAAAAGATTGCCTTTCATGTAACAGCAAAACTTTAGACATACCAGTATCACTACAAAAACCGTTCAAACTGTCCATTTTACCACCTTCTTTTATAGTATGATTAACCAACATACTGTATCTTTTTACTTCACAGCTGACATTTTTCCATCCAGAACTGACAAAGTAGCAAAAACAAGCTGCTTCAAAAAGAACCTGAGCAGCTTAGAGGGGCATTCTGGCTTAAAACTTATTATTTAGTATGTTATTTATCATGTTATGTAATATTCCGTATAGCAGCTTCGCATCCCTCATTCTCATTCGTTTCACCGAAATCAAGATTTTGTGTTTTTGTCCATCACTGTTTTCTCACTACAATACCCAGCATGCATTACGCAAATACATCACAATCACTGGGAATCCCACCAGCACTCGATAAATCCTCACTGTTAGCCACTGACCTAAAAAATAACTTTGTGTTAGCTGGCATTAGTGATATAACACTAAACTCAATTGGTCGTCAAACTTTGTCTTTCTTTGACAGACTTCAAGTATTTACTTCCTCCTTCAAAATACATAATCAGAAAGGGGGCTTTTTTAGTCTTTAAACCAGGAGATCTTCCTCATAAGACTATGCAGCACTGCTGTAAGAGGCAAGTCGGCATGTTTAGAACAGATGTAGCGATAGTTACGTTTTTCATTTTGGCCAGAATGCCCCTTTAACAGTACAGGCCCCTCTTTCTGGTACAGAAAACATTGCACTTGTAGTTGAACTACACTTTCCAATTCTCCAATTAGAACGGTTTAGAAATACCTGAACCATTTTAAGTTCAACTGGGGAAAACAAACTGGCAAAGACATTGTGACAATGTTCAGAAAGCAGCATATATACTCTGACTGCCATTATAATTTACAAGGAATACAATATAAAAGACATAAGAGTAGATACATATGTATTTGGGCTACAAGCCACCATAACAACTGTATACAGTACAACATGTTAAAACCACTATTTTAAAGTGCCTACTGCAGTGGCTTACACGATCCCCCCGGGGGAATCGCATGCACTGTGTAGTTTAGTCTTTGACCCTGATGTTACAGACAATATATCAGTTTTAATAATACTTCATAGAACTCAGATAGAAGCTGACTGACCCAGCTATGTCCCACCTACAAATGCGTTCTTTCGTAGAAAATGTTGGATGAGCTTTACAGATGCCGGCAAAAGTTCAATTCAACCTAATGAGAAATTATAACCTTAAATCTGACATGATTTTGAGAAGGAGTGGCCAGGGTATTGCCCCATAAAGGAGACCCCAAGTGACCTTCATGGTGCAATGCCATGGTCAGCAGACTTTTCACAAATACTGAAAAAAACTGTCATTTTTGAGTCAAGTCAGGTGGTGCGACCCCAGGAAAACCATTCAACGTGTATTACTAAGGCAAGGAAATTATTTGTAGAGAATTATTATCATAGTAATGTTCATTTATTTCAAAAACATGCATAAACCTGAGTTCAAGGACTAAAGTTTATATGGGTGTCCAAGTACAGACTAATTTATACTGATATAAAATAGTGGCAAATAATTTTAAAGTATATTTTTATTAACATGTGGTTGCATCACCTGACACTTTTAGTGGTAAAATTTGATGATGCTGTTTAAAAATCATGGTATTGTAAAAGCTATGGAAACATAAGAATCATATCGCCACTGTTGCAACAAAACATTGTATCTCCAAAAAAAGTAACTTTTAAGGAGAAGATAAAAACCTTAACTTTCAATGTGAGTTAATGCATTAAGATTTTATTGTAAGTTATGTTGGACCATTTCTACAAGTCCGTTCATCTAAATGAAATTTAGATACAGCATAATTGAACGTGTTTTTTTTTTTTAATTATGTCAAAAATTAACAACATTAACTTGAAAGTTAAAATCTTAGCAGTAGCTATCAAGAGCGCATTTGTGGACGGAGCACGGACAGGCCAGTTGTCAAGACCTATTTAGATGAATTGGCTGTATTAGAGGAGGGAAAACACTAAACCACACAGTGCAACCATACTAGAAGGATAAACCACTGGACTGTTGAACTAATTCTGCCCTTATATTTAGCCTAATTTTATTAGGACAGAGAATATAAAAAATAAAAGCTTTTCACGTAATACATGACTTCAACAAATGAATATGCCATTCTTTAACATGGGCACATTTAGCAATACGAACATACAGTACCATGTGGCTACATCCATTGAGAAAACCCTAAAATGACCGTATAGAAAACTATTTTAACTCCAGTCTGCTTTGAGGGATGTTGGGAATTGCCTTGGCACTGGCATTAGAAACAGTCTTTCACAATCTTGGCCAAACATCTAATCCCAGTGGAGTGGGAATTTGTATAAAAACATCCTATTATTACTTATTTTTTGTAATTTTATGTTTATATATTTTATTTTCTGTACAAACTGAAATCTGGAAAAAAAAAAATCTCTTTTTCTTAAAGCTGCACTATGTACTATGATTTTGTTAAAATGGAAAGAAATAGTATTATTAAGTTGGGAAAAAAATGCTAAATTATGGTGCGCATTTGAGTCGCTGTGTAAAGCCTGAAATAATGGTTTAGAGATTAGAGCTGTTGGGCTATCATACATCTTCATGTTTTAAAACCGTGCTCGCAATCATCTGGGAAAGGGTCCAAAGCACAACCGACCTTACAAAATGTTCTTCCGCATGTTGCATGCAATTACACATTTCGACCAGAGAGGTCTCCAAATCCCCAAAACGCATACAGTGTAGTTTTAATGAAAATGGAAAAAAGTCCAACAAACCTGTAAAATCTGTAAAACACTAAATAACTGACAATATTTGTGATTTAACATATGGGCCAGATTTACTAAGAGAGACTAATTACTGACAGTCTACCGACACTTTCATGGCCAGTTTAGCAGGTTATCTATTAAGAACTTCCATGCAAATGAACATGGGTCCAACTTTGTAATTATTACATGACCAACACATTATTAGCATGTGTTTGGCTCACATGCTGTGTATTAAAGCCTGTTTATTTCCAGATGACTAAAAATGACTTATTTTGACTTAAGTCAAAACAATGAGTTATTACTCATTGAGAAAGCATACGACTATTTAAACGTATGTAGTCCCATGGAAAATATGATGCTATTTTGACATCAGAATGAAAAATTAGTATTATTTTGACTGTTTTGAAACACAGTTCATTTTTCAGCTGTTGGGTTGAGCTGAACTTGTGTTCTGTGCCAAATGCATTTGGAAACCATGTCATTTGGTCATTTTTGAACACTATGATTTTGAGCTTAACATCTTGTCTACAGTGCAAACAAATAACAAAGTAAGGAGTAGCTTTGGTTAAGCAGGGATTGAGGAGTCAAAGAGGCTCAATATGTGCTTTAAACAATCATTTGGGAAAAAAAAACTGTTGAATCATTACTTAGGAAAAAGCTGCTCTTTGACAGAGCTGTAAGATAAACCCACAATATTAGAGAATGACATTAAAACACTGCTTTTGGAAAAGTATTTTTTAGCTTTTTTTTATTTCCTTCATCAGATTCTGAATAATCAAAAATAAATAACTGTGTTTCTTCAGCACTTACAACATTTCAGTATTTACTATCAGCTTCAGTAAATCAGACTTGATGCTTCATTATAATAATCTCTTTCCATTTTGCGCTCTGAGAGCAAAATTCCTATAAATGCAAAACTAATGAGGCAAAAGTGCAAAAGCGCCTATTAAGTATATCAGTATATTAAGTATAACAGCTACTTTTTAACACGAAAATAGGGTTTGCCATGGTGCAAAATGTTAGTATATCTGTCTCTATAACAGCTTGGAGATAAAATAGATTCACAAAATAATAAAAACACAATAAGCGACAATCCAAAATATTCAGTTTGCCGTAACTTTTCCTCTCTGATGGTACTGAATAAACAGATCCATTTACAGACGAATATTTCAACAGAAAACACACCTTCGTAACAATCACATTCATTCACTTAATGGTTTTCATTTCCATCCCAACCTTCAGTATGAAAATAGACTTGAAGAACTCACTGCATGTTAAATGAAGACTGCATTTCAACCTTGGATTTCTGTGGAATGCTAACATGTCTGTGATACTAGACATATAGTATAAGTGATGTCATTAACTATAGCTCTATATCTCTGTAGTATATTGAATATATATTTATATATATAGTAAATATAACTATAATTACATACATATATACCTCGAGGTTACTTTTAGTCTAGTTTTGTTTCATTATACATTTGAGAGTTATGTACTATAATACCAAAGATGGCACAATCACGTTTTTGCCCGTGGAGGTGATTTTCACTATATATAAAAAGACGACAGATTTTTTTTAAATGTAGTTGTACAGATGATATGAGATGAGAGATGGTCAGGAGACTGAACTTACACACTTTAGGGATGGGCATGAAAAAAAGGAGTCTGATCTCTCGCACTTTACGGAGAAGCTGAGGTTTGAGGAGCTGATTGTATTGTTTATGTAAAGTCTTTTTTTTGTAATAACCTTTAACAGAGTTGTCGCTCGAATTATGTTCAATATAGACTTGAGTCAATGTAGAAGAAAATGGCAGGTCAATTGGCTGTATAGCTTATTTATTTATTTATTATGATATTAAATTAATAAATATTTCCTCAAAAGTTCACCTAACTGGTAGTTTTATTGCAGCAATTGCAATTTGGTGTAACAATTTACATTGAAAAAAAAAAAGAAGAAGCCCAGCAACTCTGGTTGATGAACTTGCCTAATTTTTTGCTGGACTTTTACTCTCTCCAGTTTAACAGTCGTTGGTAATTCCCACCCACAGGTTACGACCCCCCTGTCACACAGTGCCACAGCCTCGGGGGAGAGCGTTTTCAGACAGGCCCCTGGATATTTAAAAAAAATGTTTTTCCTCCGTTTTCAAAAAATCTTCATCCACATAAAAACACAGAAGTCAGAGGTCTCAAAACTCGAGCGTTTTCAAAAAAAATCCATTTTTAGTCACCTAAAATGCCGTGTTATTGTGAACGTGAGGCCAAAATGCAGAGCAAAAAAATACATTATCAAAAATATCCGTATATGTGTGGATAGGGTCTCAGTCCTCTATGGTCAGAAGTCTGAGAAGAGGAAGTCCTAGAAGCCCCCCCAACCCCCACGCTCTACTGTGATAAGTGGGAGTCACAGCCTGTGGGTGGGAATTAGCAATGATTACACTGGGAGAGGAAACGAGTAACAATCCACTGTTTTTTTTTTTTTTCTGAGAAAGCTCAACTTAATTTTCTTGACTGAACTGAGATGCACGAAAGTAGAACTTTTGACTAAACAAAGTTGAGACAATTGAAAAAAAAGCTAAACAGCAAGTTGAAAATTTGACCCAACATTTTATATTTTTGCACTGCGGTTATATATTTACTCTTTTGACCAATAGCAAAAAGGGTTCTTTTATACCCACCGTTGCAAGGTTGGACAAGCTTCACAGAATGGTAACGAAAATCTCATTTAACCTAATGAGGAATTGTAACACACAGCTTGAAATACCGGAATAGCAGTGGGTGAACCTTGAATATTAGAGCTAGGCCTTCAATTCAGGCTGAAAATGCTATAAATGTCAGTAAAAAGCCACCTCAGTGGTAATGCCAACTTGTGGTAGAATCTCTATAGAATTCTAGTAGTTTGTTAGCGCTAAGCTAATGGTGATGGACATGAACACTTTCTGACGAGGCTGAAGTTTTCCATTCCACCTTAAGTTACAGTCTACCACATTCAGGCACCAGAAGTTTTCATCCAAAACTTAACAATTGCACAAAAGTAAACTGCAATACTTGCAGAGTTTAAATACAAGCTGGGATCTGTTTTCTGTTCTCTGAGGGTTCCAACCTGCTAAATAAAGTGCATTATTAATTTCTAAAAGATATTTTCTTCGCATGCGCATCATTTGAAAGTAACAAAACACTCTAATTATAAGTATTTTGACAAAATCAGTTGTGAGTAAAAATGTTTCATTAGGTTCAATGAGCTTTTTGTCAACATTCTGTCGAGCTTGCTCAACAGTACTAAAGTAGCTACAAACCAATCCAAAATGCTTTTGTGGGCGGAGCATTGACAGGTCAATTGCTGAATCATTTTTATGCTTCATATAGGGTATTTGTGTTTGTGGTTGTGCTGTAAAGATGTCCATTTGATTGATAATCACATTACTATTCAGTTATTGATGAATATTGAAAATGCCCATCCCTAATACACACACATAGAAAAGCCTAACACGCTACACAACGAGTACCTGTAGCCTGACGGGAACACAGAACCTTAGCTAGGCCTCGCTAGAGTCGGTCCTTGCGTTGGGGAACAGAGGCGGCAGAGGAAGCAGGTGTGAGGGGTACTGCGGCACTGCTGCTGCTGAATGAGCAGGTAGGCCAGTGTCTTTACACTCCGCGGAGTCATACTCAGTGGGAGAGGCCTCAGAGGCTGGCAGGTTGCTGACCGAAAAGCATTTCTCTCGGTGGGCCTTCAGCATGTTGGAGAAGCGGAAGCGCTGGCCGCACGTCTCGCACGGATACGGCTTCTCTCCGGTGTGAGTGCGCCGGTGTCGCTTCATGTTGGGTCGACTGGTGAAGCTCTTCCCGCAGATCTCACATATGTACGGCTTCTCTCCTAAGACACAATCGTAAATCACAAGCAGTTTAACAGCCAAGGAAAATATTAAGAACATGTAAATTGGGGGAAATGTGTCAACACGTGGTTTACAAATGTAACAGTGAGTTCCAACCACACAGTGTGGGGTGAGTTTCCCAAAAACGATGGATCTTAGCTTATAACAACAAACTATTGAAGGACATGAGAATCAGTCAGTTTTGCAAGCATATCCGAATAATATCCCGATATTCTCCTAATAATAATAATAATTATTACTATTATTATATATATATATATATATATATATATATATATATATATATATATATATATATATATATACACACATACACACATTTTTATTTTGGATACTGTTGTCTATTATGTCTATTTTATTTGAATATTTTATTGTGTTACAAAAAACAAGTATTTGAACAGTCACAATTATGCAGAAGCTGAGGTCTGAGGAGCTAATGTTACTGTACAGAGTTTAACAGAGTTTCTGCTAAATTTTTCATTTATTATTCGACATATTATTATAGGGTCAGCGCAAAAAAGGATAGCAGCGACACAAATCCTTAAACAATACCTGGCTGTTATTTATTTATTCATTGACCAATACATGCTCCACCCACAAACTTCTTTCGTAGTTACTATTGTGAGATTGGATACATTTAAAAGCAAATTCCACCAAATGAGAAATTTTACTGCAAATAACTAAATTGTAACCATTATTTCAATATTAGGACCAATGCAAATCATAGCTGTTAATTAATTGCCATATAAAAAATTGTGATTAACAGTGTAATTAGCATTTTTTGCTAATAGTTGCTAATACAACTATCAAGGTATCATTAAGGTAATTATTAAGAAATCTTCTGTCAGTGGTTCCCAAATAATAGCCCCAGAATACTATGCGGCAAATAAAAATATCATTTCCTAAATACTGGGCCTCATTCTTCAATACCTTCCTAAGTTTGTATTCCTGAAAAAAACCCTACAAAAAAGTCTACGTCAGACTCGTCATGTGTTCTTAAAGGGCAGAACTGTTCACACTTTTGTGCTCCTGAGTGTGTGTAGATCCTGTTCTTACCTAAGAACAAATCCCAAATAAGAAAACACAGGTAAATGTAAAAAAACTGCAGAAGTGGGTTTTCAGAAGAAATTTCTTCCTAAGAACGGTTGGTGAATGAGGCCCAATGTTATTATTAGTAAGAGAAGTTGTACATTTGTATTATTATTATTATTATTATTAATAGCATTATTATGAACTTAATATTTATTGGCTATGACAACAGTAGTATATAATTATATTATTTGTATATATTTATTATTTTAATATTATATTTTACTGTATTAAATTATTATTATTTATACTTTTTTTACTGAAAGTGGGGTCTTTTTGGTGCAGAACAAATAAATAAGCTTAGTTATTAATTTACATACAAATTTGGGCAGAACTTTAGTTAAGAAGGATTTTGGGAAACACTAATTAACAAACATTCATACACTCGAGTTAACAAAGTACTTAGCATTAGGAAGCTTTTGGGAAATGCACCCTTGATTGATTGAAACGTGTGTTACTATATGTGAAAGCAGCACATTTGTTATCAAACCTTTATCATTTCACTGATTTCTAAGGAACAGCTTGTTACTTCTGGCTTTTTAAACTCTCAAGCACACTTGTTTTTATTGTAGTCTATGGAGAAACACATTCTGCAACTGTAAAGCAAGCACACTTCTACCCTCTGCAGTGTGCTTCATGTTTTTAAACTACATGCACAGGCTTAAAAAAAAGCTTTTCTACTGAGTCCCCAGAAAAGAGCACCACACATCCACACATCATTATAATCAATATCCGGGAGCTGCATAACACTCGACACAAAGATTACCACAGTCCGAACATGAAAGACAGTTTTTAATTCTAAACTAAGCTATGAGCTTCTGGAACAGAATGGCTCAAATACACTGTGTGTGACCCGAACTCTTACCTGTGTGGGTTTTCATGTGCTCATCAAAGTACTGCTTCATGTTGAAGTCCTTGCCGCACCACTGACACATGAACTGCTTGTGTCCGATGTGGATACTCATATGAGATCGTAGCTGGTACTTGTACTGAAAACGCTCATTGCAATTCTGCAAAATAGGGATTTAAGAGATGACTGGCATAGCAAATTTTTCTAAAGCATGAGAAAAGCTACAAACATTACCCTAATACCACACGTATGTGTATATCATACAGTGACACAAACCTCATTAGCAAGTCTATTTGAGATTACTTAACAACTCAACCAGGTAAAATAGCATAGTATAAGTTTTCCTCACTTCTTAGCTATGTTAGCCTGGTAGCCAACAAAATACAGGTAGTGCTGGGGGGGTCCAGGACCCCATAACTAAGCTTTTGGATCCCCCCCCCGATAACACCAAAATCAAAATTTCCTGAAAAAAGTCCCTGAAAATAAACATATTATGGTGTTATGGTGCCCATTATGGAAACAGATATTCTCAATGATGAATTCAGGAAAAATAACTATTAATTTGTTTATTTTAGCCTTTTTTACCCATAAAAAGAGCTGAGCTACTGGTCTGCCTCAGGGTGACACTGTAACAACTCAGTGCTTCTCTGAAAAACTCTTTGATGAGCGTGGGATACTTGTAATTTGGATATCCAGTATGTCAAATGCTGCCCAATTTTTCTCCAGGGAAAGTTTTTTACCTCACACCTGAAGGGCTTCTCTCCTGAATGTTGGAGAAAATGAACTTTCAAAGACATGCTCCGTTTGAAGGACTTGCCACAGGTCTCGCAGGTGAATGGCATCTCTTTTGTGTGAGCTGAAAGCACAGAGAACTGGTTAGGAGAGTTCAGGTCATGTGTTCACGATGAAGAAACAGAACAGTCCGAAGGCGTAACTCACCGATCATGTGTTTGCGAACGTGAGCCATAGTGAAGAACTTCTTCTCACATATCTCACAAGTAAACTTTTTCTCAGCGTAGCCATGGACAATTTTATTGTGCTCATGCAGGGACCAGAGCTTCTTGAAGTCTTTGCCACACGCAAGACACTGAAGAGACGTAAATAGAAAAGAAAATAAAAATGATGAGAAAGAAGAGATTTTAACGTAAATATATACATACTACAGTACATGTAGTTGGCTACTTCAATTTGAAAGAGGCACAACACCATGTGGGAGGCATTCTGATACACGGACGTTGGAAGGGAGGGTGCCGAGGGTTCTGCAGCCCCCCGATTTCAGGATTACAAAATAAATAATACTAAGACTTGAACGTAGTAGACTCAACTGTGCTTATTTCAGCAAATTTTATTGGTTTTTGAAAATTGCCCACTTTGAATTTGATGCCAACAACACGTTCCAAAAAAGTTAGGATGGGGGCAACAAAAGGCTGCTAAAGTTGTGGAATGCTAAAAAAACACCTGGTGGTTGATTGGCAACAGGTCAGTAACATGATTGGGTATAAAAAGCATCCCAGGGAGGCTGAATCTTTCAGGAGTAAAGATGAGGAGGGGTTCGCCATTCTGTGAAAGACTGCGCAGGCAAACAGTGCAACAATTCAAGAATAATGTTACTCAGCATAAAATAACAAAGAACTTTTGCTTTTCATCATCTACGGTACATAATAAAATTTAAATATTCAAAGAATCCAGAGAAATCTCTGTACGCAAGGGATGAGGCCAAAAACCAATACTGGCTGGCCATGCTCTTCAGGCCCTCAGGTGACACTGCATTAAAAATAGACATGATTCTATAGTGGAAATCACTGCATGGGCTCAGAAACATGTCTGAAAACCACTGTCTGTGAAATCAGTTCGCCGCTGCATCCACAAATGCAAGATAAAACTCTAAAACGCAAAGAAGAAACAATATATAAACAGGATCCAGAAATGCTGCCACCTTCTCTGGGCCCAAGCTCATTTAAAATGAACTGAGGTGATGTGGAAAAGTGTCCTGTGGTCTGACAAATCAACATTTTAAGTTCTTTTTGGAAATCATGGACATTGTGTCCTCTGAGCTAAAGACCCCTCAGCTTGTTATCAGGACACAGTTCAAAAGCCAGTATATACTTTCAAAACTACAGCAGTGTCTTCTCAGTTCCCAAACACTTACAGAGTGTTGTTAAAAGAAGAGGTGATGAAACACAGTGGTAAACATGCCCCTGTCCCAATTTTTTTGGAATGTGTGGTTGGCATCAAATTCAAAATGGGCATATATTTTTCAAAAAACAATACAATTTCTCAGTTTCAACATTTGATATGTTGTCTTTGTAGTATTTTTCTTTAAATATATGGTTTATGAGATTTGCATATCATTGCATTTTATTTTTATTTACATTTTGCACAGCGTCCCAACTTTTTTGGAAATACGGCTGTATTTTAGACCAGTTTTCATTCCAAAAGCGAAATGAAAATAAACTTTTATCAACCGTTATCTCCCCTCAAGGTGCGTTCCAGTGTTAAATCACACTGTGTGACTGTGGACACAAGCAGTTACTGTGCCAAGCATCAACAATCTGAATGGTTGCTGCTCATCTCATTTGCATAAAGTTAGTCCAGTACAAACAAACATCTTCCTCTTTGAAGATGTGCATCAGTGGTTTTATGTGTCAGTTATATGTACATATTGTCACTTCTCGCCTCATTACAGCACAATGTGACACATTTTGTTTGATGCAAAGTGAAATCATTTAGCATGACATCATCGCTTTATAAACAAAATGTACAGGAAGCCAAAATTAAAGGGGACATTTTTGAAGGGGAAATTTTTCTCGTATATGATTCGGTTCCTACTTGTCATAACAATTGTTTGGTTGTGACATCACAACCTTCTCTAGCTTAGCTTCTATATATGTATTGTACAGAGTAGGGAGTAAATGGCATGCATAAACTTTGTTTATGTAGTACATCAATGCCCAGGAGGGCACTAATAGCCAGTGCCCTGCTCTCTAACACCACATAGAGCCCAAGAGGGAACTGACAGACCAGCAACCAGCTACCAAGCACTGCCTAGTGCCCCAGAGGGCACCAAAAGGCCAGCAGTGAGTTCCTCAGCACCACTCTCGGCAGCACTGCCTCCCAAGCCTGCCAGTGCTCAGCCCCAATGGCTGTGCTGTGAAAGTGAGGGCAGAACTGGCTGTTGGACAGAGCTGCAAGTGCTCAGATGCCCACGCTACGCTCCATAACGAAGAATGCTTGGATAAATACAAAGGCTGCTGAATAAATCTCTCAACTCCCATGGTGCGGGTTGTCCAGCAGCTCAATTTAGGCACTGTGTTCTTTCAAAAAATGATTGTGAAGGACCTGCGTTGACTTCTAGAAGCAATTCTTGCCTGGAAGTGAGGCGATTTTTATTCACAAGCCATGAAATACACCAGCGGTCCCTGTCTGTCAGTTTCGTCTTTCAGACACAATTCTGACGAGAATTTTCTGTAGACTGCGATTTTGCCATTGCTGGGAGACCTATATGACTGTACACTTCAATACACCAGCAAATTCAGCTACTTCCTTCACACTATGGCTTTTGGCTGCCCAAATGCAACCACTCCTTTTTCCCCAATTATTAACATCTGCTTTGCGACCCATTTTCCACACATTGAACAAGACATTCACTGCACTGTACCATCTCTTCTCAATCTATGAATCCTGTCGCCCACCCTGCAGCTATTTATAGCCAGATTATCCTTGTGCAATGCCATCTGCAGGAGCCTGAAGTTACCACCACCTTAAACACGCAAGGTGACTATTTTTTTTTTCGGGGAGCTTATGTTGGCATCGAAAAAAGGGATAGTTTCGTGCCTTGGCAACGGCGACATGCAGCCCTGAAAATGTTGCCATGGTGACAGCGCCACTGGTGAAAATGGAGGAATATCAAAGTACAGCTTTAGCAGTGTTAACTGTATATTTAAGGTGGGAAAAACAGTAAGGAGAATCCTCTGTACTCTGTTATTATTGATTATTTAACACTTGGTGCGTCTGGACTTCAACAATGAGATGCTCGGCAACCATGGCCTCTGGTTTGTTTCTGTTTATTCCACTGCCATAGTTGAAGGCAAAAGTTGAGAAACCTGGAGTATTGATACTGCGTTTACATGTTGGCGGCATACAGCAAAGTGGATATTCCTTTGTTTTCCATGGAGCAGTGATTCCGATAGCACCTGGCTGCAGACCTTAAATAAGGAATCGCCATTGCTAAAATTGTCCTCTGATAATTAACCATTTTTGTCTCCACAGCTGTGTGCTGCTGTTGGTCATGTACTGCTTTGAGGTATGGAATAAGGCATTTTCAATGCCAACATGCTAACATGACAAAATGTTCCTACAACCATGACTTCACCGCGGTACTCTGCAGTCGCTGCTTCATCGAAAACAATGGAATATCTGGTTTGTCATCGACCTCCTACCACCATGTAACCACAGCTTTATAGTAACGTAGCCCACACCTAGTATCTGAGGGTAACCTTGCTGCATTCATATTTTAGCAGTAGATGGCAAACTGGATATTCTGTTATTTTACTGGAGCAGCAATTGAAAATTCGGCCACTGCTAGCACCATTGTTCCACTAGCTGCAGTGGTAAACTGTGATGTGGAACATTCCAGCACAATTTCCATTTTCCCAACTTTTGCTGTTGATGGTGGGGGTGGAATAAACCATATGTTGGATTTTTATTGTGCTGAACGGTCATATTCATAGTTAAGGCATACCTGTGAACGTACATCAAGTCATGAATGTCAAATACCATTGGAAACATTAGAGTTACATGAAATAGTGGCACCACCATCGCCACAGACACAAGTTATGCTGTTACCACGGCAACGTTTACATCGTTACATGGAGCCATCGGCTCTGTACGGTTGCCAATTCTACTATATTTTTTGACTGTGATTTGGGCAGTTGTGTGAATTCATACCTGTATGTTCTTCTCACAGTCAGTCTGCTGATGCAGCACCAGCTCGCTGTCCAAAAGGAAGCGCTTGCCACACTTGTCGCACACCTGCATGTGGCTGTGTGCGACGCTCACGTGCTTCTCCATGTCCCAGCCGCTGGTGAAGACCCGCGGGCACCTCATGCATGGGAAGCTCCGCCTCTCCTTCATTTGTGCGTCCTGCCCCAGACCCTCATCTTCCTCCTCCTCCTCCTCACCACGCCTACTCCCGCCACCACCCCGCCTCACTCTCATGCTCGTTCTCATAGTAACCGTCGCCATGGTGTCCATGGAGGTCCTGGTCTGTCTGCGCGACCTCTGAGGGAGGAACTCAGGCAGGTTGAGGACCTCAGCCTCTTCTTCTTCGCTGGTACCTCCAGGTGCCTCATCATCACCTTCGCTTTGGTCATCTTCTTCCTCTGAATCCATGTTGTCCTTCTCCTCTGTCTCAAAGCCAGAAGGAGTTGCAGTAGGGGAAGAGCTGCCCCCTTCCAGACCTTTGGACACATTGAGGGTCTGGTTGTTCAGATTCAGCTCCACGATAATCTGCTCTCTGTTGAACGTTGCAAGGTCATCGGAATCTCTTGACACCTCCGGTTTTTCCTCCACCTTACATGACTGTCCCGCCTGTCCATCTCCGATGTGAACAGCATACGGACTCCTCTCGCCTTTCCCTGCAAAGATCTTGGCGCTGGACAGGTCCTGCTCCTCCTTGATCTCCACATAAAAGCTGGTGCCTAGGCCTGAGTGATAAAATGATGGCCATCATTTATTTTTTTTATGTTGTTTAATGCACATAAACAGAATAATTGCCTCTTTAAAAAGTTTCTGACTGAATACCTTTTTATTTGCAGGGGATAATGTTAATGTAATGTGCTTCAGTGTTTAAATGCACAATTTGTTTTTTTCTTTTTCAAATTTTTAGCAAGACATAAAATGCACATGTTCTCTGTTTGCATGTTTAAACCAAAGAATAATCCCTAAATTTTAGCTAGCATCATTTTCCATAGCAAAAATTAAGGCCACTCCCACTTTTTTTAAAGCCTCTACGTCTTGGAAACGAATGACGATTTTAACATTAAAAGCCCATGTGCAAAAGTCTTAATTAACTGTATTAATTAATAAAATATTTTGCCTCATTAAAATAGGGGCCTGGACAGAAACACCCTTTATAATTTCAGTGTGAATGGGCGGAGCTTAACTGCTGTAGGCTGAATAGGTGGATTTTAATGAGTTGGTTCTCTTGTTACATCCTTAGTATCTCCTAGCCAATACAGTCATGTCTATTTTTAAGCCCATACATCTTACAAACTAATTAAGGAATATATATATATATATATATATATATATATATTTGGTTTTTTTTTTGCACACTATTTCCTCACCACAATGAGATTTTTAAAAGCTACATGGTGTAAGATTTGGGGACCTCATGCAACATGTGGATGAACATTTCATAACATGGGTAGTGCTTTGGACCCCTTCTCCGTGCTGATGAATCTGATGATTACAAGTGTGTTGAAAGAAAATTCAAAGAGAACTCATAACTTGGTGAACAACAGATATAAATCTGAAAATAAATTATTTCAGTGGCAAGAAAACGTATGTGAACCCTTTGGAAATATCTGCATTTATGTTTAAAGTCATCTTAAAATATGGTGGGATCTTCATCCAAGTTGTGATAAAGAACAAACACAATCTCTTATAACACAAAAAATAAAAGTATTGTTTTTGTCCTTATACCGAATATATCATTCAAAAAAATATGTGACTTCAACAACAGCTAACTGGACTCAGGAGTTAGCAAACCTGCACAGCGTCCACACAAAGAATTGAGATCGAAGGTGTGGGTAAGGCTACTTTGACTGATAAAAACACTCAAATATTTTGAGTTTGCTATGCAGAATAAGCATCTGCCGATGTGAATCATGCCTCGCAAAAAAGACATCTCAGAAAACCTACAGTCAATAACTGCTGAATTCCATAAAGCTGGTAAGGGTTACAAAGTAATCTCAAATAGTTTAGATGTTCATAAGTCTACAGTTAGACAAAGTATCTCTAAATGGAGCCAATTTAGAACTATGTCTACCTAAAAGTGGGCATCCAGCCAAGATCACTCCAAAGCTAAGATCACTCCAACACAGAATGCTCGATGAAGTAGAAAAGAACCCTAGAGTACAACCTAAAGGCTTAAAGGCACCATTGGAACTGGTTAACATCTCTCTTGGTGGGTCTACCATACGAAAAACATGCAAACAGGCATGGTGTCCATGATAGGACACCACAGAAGAAGGAGATTGCCAAACATTTAAAAAACACTCCTGGGACTATGCTATGTGGACTTATGAAACTAAGGTTATAGAGCACTGCATTCCAACATGAAAACATCATCCCCACAGTGAAGTATGACGGAGGGAGCATTATGATTTGGAGCTGCTTTGCTGCCTCTAGGCCTGGTCCGATTACCATAATCAAGGGAAAAATGAAATCCTAAGTTTATCAAAGTATCCTAAAGGATCGTGTCAGGGTGGCTGTCTGCTGGCTGAAGCTCAGTAAAAGCTGGGTGATATGGCAGGATAATGACACTAAACACCAAAGTAAATGAACTACAGGATGGCTTAAAAAAGCATAAAATTCACTTTGTGGAGTGGCCCAGTCAGACCCCAGACCCCAGACCCCAGACCCAATAGAGATGCTGTGGAATGACCTCAAGAGAGCCATTCACTTCAGATATCCAAAGAATATGGTTGAGCTAAAGCAGTTCTTTAAGGAAGAATGGTCCAGTATTATTCTTGCACACTGCGCAGGTCTGATCTACAGATACTTGAAGCATTTGTTTTTGGTCACTGCAGCCAAAGGGGGTCGACCAGTTATTAAATCCAAGGGTTTGCTTACTTTTTCCACTGGTACTGTGAATGTTAAGCTGGTGTGCACAATAAAGACACACAGGATTATAACTGTGTCATTAGCTTTAGCACATTATGTGCGTCTACGCTTGTGAAGATCACATTTTATGACCAATTAGAAAACTAGGTATTTCTAAAGAGTATATATACTGTGTATTTTTGTTTTCTCCAAATTATTATTGAGCATTAGGAAATGTATTTAATATTCTAGATATCAAACAACATGGAAAAACATATCATGATTGTTGTCCATACTGCCCAGTCCTACCAGCAGAGCCCGCCGAGCCGCTGCCTCCATTGCCACTGTTGCCGTTGCTCCAGGCCTTGTCGTCAGCATCCTGGTGCCTAGGCAGATCTGCTGGAGTGGGCCGGGCGTGCAGCGAGCCACGGGAGATGAGCTCGCGGCAGGACGAGGCGATGTTGCTCATCTGCAGCACGGTGGCAGCGCGGAGCACGTCCTGTGCATTTCCACTGTTCACCAGCAGCTTGGAGGTGTAGATGAAGTTGAGGATCTGCAGCAGGCCCTGCGGCCGGAGCGCCTCCAGCGACAGCTCCACACGCTGCAGCTCCTTGCTGGAGGCGAACAGCGAGTGGAAGAAGGGGCTGTAGGCCGCCAGCACGCCCTTGTGGGCCTGGAAGGTGGCCTTGTGGCGCAGCAGCACGATGTCCACGTCGCACAGGTCCGGCTGCAGCAGGCGCTGCTCGTTCAGACGGTCCATCAGGAAGGTGCAGTGAAGGGCCACATCCTCCACCACAGAGTACTCCACAGACGGGAGGTCAGCAGTCTTCTCCACTATCAGCTAAACAGGAAAGTTTATGTTTAGGGATGCAACAAATATGTAAACAAATGCAAACAAAGTCATTCAGAGAGGTTCTCATTCTAGAGAAATGAGTCAAAATTGCTCACAGTTGTGGTGATAGGAACCAGACATATTACCTCTAAAAGCTACCTCACAAAATGTTATTGGATGAAATGGTTATGAATGCTCTGCCTGATGCCTGAAACATGACCATTTTCCAACCTCTCCTTATTAAATATATAAAACTACATCAGCCGTTTTTGTTACTGTGCCTTTAAGACCGATATAAGGTAAATTATCTCTATTCCAGTTTAGTGCCGCATTCAAAAAACAGTCCAGACTGAATCACCCTCAATAACCTCAGCCCAAATTTTAAGTGTTTTTTTTTTCAATTTGGTAAGTTCCACGAATAAACAGTCATTATGCATTAAAATGCATTCAAATTATTTTCACTTAGGAAAAAAAAAAAAATCAACAAAACACGAAATATGCCCAAACTTTTGCACACGACTGTAGCACAATATTTTTTATTATTATTAACAGAAGAAGGATTGTGCAGTTAACCCCTGTGTGCTACTGTGTTTACTGACATAACTGCTGACTATACCTTCATACCTCTTGGCTGTCAATCACTGCACAGATTTGATTACTGAGGTCACTCTTCATTATGTTGTGCATGAAAATGGACTGACCATCCCCGGCTATGAGAAGAAAGCAACACAGATTGCTTTTTGTTTAAATGTCCTTCAGTCCTGCAGCATAAACGACCATCCTACCATGTTGAGGGCTAGACACATTGTTTTATTTTTAGACTAGCCATTTATTATCTATATGGCTCTTTGGGCAAAATATCTAATTGTGTTTTTTTTGGCCCTATAATACAATTTAAACTGAAATTTTTCCTATAAATTAAGAGTTTTTATGACCAAGTAGACCAGCATATCCAGTTTTTCTGGCAAGGATACCCGAACAACGGTCTAGAACACCTTAGAAACTACTTGTAATAACACAGCAACACCTTAGCAACCACCGAGCAACACTTTAGCAACCATTTAAGGTAACGCAGCACTGGCCTGGCAAAACATTATCAACCACCTGGAGTACCAGGCAACTAGCTAGCAACACTGGGAACCCCTAGCAACGGACTAACCACACATCAGCAACCACCTGGGAAACCATCACAATGGCTTTGGCCTAGAAACACTTCGGCAACCACCTGGGAAACCATCACAATGGCTTTGGCCTAGAAACACTTCGGCAACCACCTGGGACACCATAACAATGGCTTTGGCCTAGAAACACTTCGGCAACCACCTGGAACGACAGGAATCGCCAAGCAACATCTTCACAACAATCTGGGACACCATAGTAATGGCCTTGTGACTCCTTAGCAATCATCTGGGATAACATAACAATAATCTAGCAACACCTTAGCAGCTACCTGGAAAAACAACTGACAGTTATCTTCAATCGCTTAAATGTTTTCCAAGCGTTTTTAGCTGTTTTTGTCAAGCCAACTTGAAGTTTGTTCATGAATTTTCCTCTTGTAGCTAAAACAGCAGCTCTTATTTGAAAGTTGCACTTCAAATTGCAATTTCAATAAAAAAGGATTAATCTTTCAGCTCTGCCTTCAGCAAGGCCCAGCTCCTCCAACAGATAAATGGTTAACCAGCCCCTGATACAATCACGATTTATCAACGGCTAGTCACATTCTTACAGCAAACACTGCCTTCGGCTCTAAATCCCACATAACTCAGCACAGAAATAAGTGACATTTACGCCTACTTCACTGTACTCCACCACAGCACCACTGAAAAAGAGGCCGATAAGCTGAATGTGATAAAAAGATCCGAATGAAGACGACACTCCTGTTTTGGTATCTAGAAAACAGTGTTTTGATTCCAATCATTTCTATTTGGTTCCCTTCAGCTCCTCTATAAAGACAGATACAATAGCAAATAGGCTCCTACTGAGGAGCGCTCAAACAGTTGTGATGTAAAGGAAAACTCCACTTTTAAAAAGCATAATTAAGTGGTTAAAATGTAAAAGTCATTCAGAGTAGGTTGGTGTGAAATGCTCTGTTCAAGAGAAGCTTACAGCCAGAACTGTCTGAAGAGTTTAATGCCTGTAAAAGTTGCACAAAATTATACTGAATTTGTGGCCTGAGACATAAATTATAGTTAAGTTAAATTATGTCACCCAGAGAGCTGCCATTATTTAACCATTATGAATATTATCAACATTACATTTAAGAACTCAGGAGACACGTGCAGATTCACTAGTCACTTTGGATAGTAAATAAAATAGCTATATTTGTGTTGTAGACATGGCGACCCCTGGTTCCTATCACCACCAGTGTAAAGAAATCTGTCAGTGCCCACGTTTTTCAAGAGGCTTCAGAAACTGGCGCTGGTTCGATCGTCTAGGTTTGGTGTGGAATGTGTGGGGTAGTATTTTGAAAATACCACCAAAGTGAGAGGAAACCATGGAAGGCATAACGGTTTGATCTAGAACTGGGTGATATGGCAAAAATATTGCAATATTGCGATACTTCAAGAAATTTTCACGATACACCATATACCACAATATTTATTTTTTCAGACATCTGACCAGGTGGAGCACAAAAAACAGCAATGCTACATTTTTACTACACTATAATATATACTGCTCATGCTATAAAAAACTATGAATACAATGATTTTTATTCAATATTTGGCCTAGTGTTGCACTAAATCCAGTTAAATGGGACTAATTTTGCTCTCTTTATTATCAAACAGGTAGTTGATCAGTGTTCCACAGACACTGACGATATGCACGATATGTTCAGAAAAGCATAATGTATTGTGCCATAATTTATCATGATAGCGTTATATATATCGCCATATTGCCCAGCCCTAGTTCGATCAATAGACAAATCAAAAACAGCCCATGGATAAACCCATAACAGCTGTGTGCTTCTCTGCAATGCATTCCTTCATTTTTTTCTCAGTGATTGAATTATGCAGAAATTTTGAAACATTTGTGGAAGTCCCCTTTAATTCTGAAGATGCTGAGTGTGCTGGCAATCCGCTCAAACTACTAGAGGGCTAAGTCTGAGCATTTTTAGCATCTGAACCCAGTGACCTTGTGAATGAGGCACTTTAGATGACTCTTAAATGCATGCACACAGCATGATGTCAGCACTTGTAAGCGGACATGTGTCTACAGAAGGTTAAAGGGGAATTCCACCGATTTCTTACATTTCTGCATGATTTAATGGTTAACATGTAAACAAAGTGATTCAGAGTGGTTTGGTGTGAAATGCTCCATTCTAGAGAAACATACAAAGTCAGGACTGTTCACAGTGGTGGTGATAGGAACCAGACGTCCACCTCTAAAAGCTCCCTCACAGAAAGGTATTACATGAAGTGGTTTTGAATACTCATATAGTCTGATGTCTAGTTTTGTGATAAGGTTTCAGTGTAAAAACAATTTATGTAATCCATTCACGGTGGAGGGGTACATGAAGGGTGTTCTAGGGGAAACCACCCCCCAAAGAAAACTTCTTTTTCTTTTTTTTTTAAACCATCATCTACATTCCATCTAAACTCAGACGACTCGTGTAGGTTCACTGGTGGTTCTGGATAGTAAATAAAGTGTCTATATTTGCATTGTAGGCACTGTGACCCCTGGTTGCCATCATTACCTCTGTAAGCTTCTCTACAATTAACCATTTCACATCACATCTCTCTGAATGACTTTGTTTACATCTCAACGACTGAATTATGCAGAAATTTTGAAAAATGGGTGGAATTCCCCTTGAAGGCTCACAAAGCATTCTCGATGTGGAACGTTTTTTGTTTTGTTGATTAGAATACATCATGAATCTGTTCCAAAAACAAAATTTCTGATGAAAACAAGAATACCTTAAAGAGAAATTTCACTGATGTTACAAAATGTCTGTAAAATTAAGTCACTAAAATGTAAACAAAGTCATTCAGACTGGTTTAAGGTTCAGTGGTGGTGACAGAAACCTGATGTCTGCCTTTAAAAGCTCCCTTACAAACAGTTATTACATGGAACAGTTACAAATATGTTGCCTGATGTCTCAGATGCTGTTCTGAGAGAAGATTTTGGCCTAAAGCACATTTTAAAAGGCATCCATGGCACAGAGATCCAGGCAGGGTGTAGTAAATCAAAACAGTCCCAAATAAAAATACATTTTTAAAAAATTAACCACCATCAATATTATATATAAAAACTCAGAAGGCACATGTATGTTCACTGGTGATTGTGGATCATCGTGACCCCTGGTTCCCATCACCGCCACTGTAAAGAAATCTCAGTCGGTAAGTTTCTCTACAAAGAATCATTTTACAGACAAACTGCCCTGAATGACTGTTTACATCCCAACAACTGATTTATTCAGAAGTGCTGAACAATAAGTGACGTTCCCCTTTAATCAGACACTGTATTTCTGAGGTAAATACAAAACTGCAAGTTAACATTCTGAAGTTTCTCTCCAAGTTTGGTGCCTCTAGGCTGAAGATCTGAAGATGGGAATGTAGTGTGAAGACTTTTGTACCAAGGCAAAATCTAAACCAGGCTAACTAAACCGAGTAAAACTGTTAGAATCTACAGGGTAATTATGGAGACCGTCGCGCACCTTCACTACCCAGAGCTCAGAGAGGGTGCAACCTAGAAAAAGTTACACAGCGCTGAATGGTGAGAAAATGATTAACAACCAAGCTGAGCTGGGGGCGAGATATGCCCCATCCCACCCTCCACACTGACGGCATGAAGGATTTGTCTGAAACGCAGAGGCCTAAACGGGATTCCCAAAATCTCAGACCAACCAAGAACGACACATCAAAGAGGAGACCGAGCCGCTACCATTGCGATCCGGAGGCGTTAGCTGCTTCCAAGGAGCTCCGTTTGGTTCCCCCTCCTCAGCGCTCGGACGGCTCCTGTCCAACAGAACAGAAAGGCTACTCTTTGTATTTAAACGGCGTCCTTTGATTCGGACGGCGGTTCTTTCTCGCCATGTTTGCATGCAGAGTGATCGGCGGCTGCCTTTGGCGGAGGGCAAGTGGTGATTGGAGCTCCAAAATCATATGGGGCGCTCCGTCTGGAGCGTTAAAGCGACAGGGATGCCATAATCCAGACATGCTTTTGGTGCGGGAGGCTTCAAAAGCCGGGGATGGCTCGGGTGTCCTGGTTCGGTGCGGAATGGACAGGGGCAGTGTTTTGAAGGAGAGAGAGGACTGAACGTGTCAAAACGCGCGTTTGTCCGCGGCACCTGGTGTTGTGCACTGGCAGCCTTCAGCTCAGCGAGGCTGCCGGGGTCAGTGAGTCCATAGCGGAGTGAACCGGTTCAGCACGACCGGCGCGCTGGATGTAATGCCGATCCGCTCCACACGGGGGCAGCACAACACAGCGGACTAACGCGATGCTTCGGGGAAATTCATTCAAACGAACCTCCGGTGGATCTTTCGCTCTTTCTCGTCATTCGTTCATTTTTCCTTTTTTCTTTTTTCATCTTTAAATTTAATTTATAAATGAAAAACTAACATAAAAAAATACATATTTTTTCTTCTCTTTTCTTTTTGCTTTTCTGCACCTTTTCCCTTTATGTAGTAATGAAAAAAGTAATGTAAATAAATAAATATTTTATATTTTCTTTTCCCATTTCCTCTTCTTTTGCTTTTGTTTACACATGATAAACGCTAAATAAATAAATAAAAAATGTTTTCTTTACTTTTCATCTTCTTTTCCTTTTATTTACAAATGACAAAATTTGCACATCAAATACAAGAAGTAATCTAGAATAATCTGGTAATGTAACTAACTAGATTAAATTAAATCTAGTTAACTTTCCCATCTGATATCTGATATATGGCAATATATAGATTTCAAATATATGACATATATAAGCATATATAAAATTTTTCTTTAATCACAGCTCTAATATTTGTGATATATGGACATATATGTGACATACATGCCAACATATTTGAAACTGGTCATTTTATAATATGGGACGTTTCAGCCGTATATCAACATATACAAACAATTATGTGTAACACAAATATTTAACAATATATGATATTAAACACGGTTTGAATATGAATCAAATAAATTACTCATAATGCTAAATTCATATTATACAATGTAAGGCTTCTATGCATCTTCTTTGTTGCTGTTTAACTAAACTCTCAAAACATATACATTGTAAGCTATACAATAAAATCATTCAAAAATGAAAGAAATAAAAAATGTTGCTCCTTGACACATTTAAATAATTTAATATTTTAATATTTAAAAGCAAACATATAATAGTAATCCATGTATGTATAATTAATTGATAATGCATATATGTCCATTATTTAATACTTATGTCTATGTACATATGTACACGTTTAAAATATATATATATATATATATATATATATATACACACACACGCATGTATATATGTCCATGTATGGAGATTAGGTTGCCATGGCCCAATTAGATTACTATATGCTTTAGTGTTCCCATTTAGGTTGAATTTCTTAACCATTTGCACTTTTGAACATGATTTTAGTTAATATGAAGTTAATATCCTACATTTCCCTTGTATTTTTTCTACTTTGATGTCCACTTACAAAAAAATTCTGTGGTTTTATGTAGCAAAACAGTTCCTACTCTCTTTTGTCCACAGAATTTAAAAAGCCTATTTTTGTTATTGTGCCTTTAAGACTGAAATATGTAAATGACCTTTGTTCGGGTTGGATATCCTGTAACACACTTTTTAACTTCAGCACGAGTGGGCAGGGCTAAAGTGCAGTAGGGTGAATAGAGAGGTATATGTGACATCACGGAGAACACTGAATTCAAAAAGTTTTGAAACTTAATGTTTGAAACTTTAACAACTTACTACACTGTTGGTACATTTTTCATTCATCAAGGTACAGTGTAAATGTTCCCTCAAAGGTACAACAGTGGTTCAGTTGTGCACCTTAAATAAATTTAAACGAATTTAAAAGTATGTATTTTTACCTGTCCATCACCGAATGTTTTAAAACAGAACAATAAAATAAAAAGCCTGGAGACGAGACGGGGTGTGTGGAGTCAGTACAACTTAGAAAATGTAATGTGAGAGTTTGCTACCTTTCTTCTGAGAGTGAACATCAATCTAAAAACTGGAGGAAAATTAGTTTTTCAATGAAATGGACTCATTTTACTGGTACTGCAATACCTTTTTATGGTAATATTAAAAACATATTTTGAGTTAATATAATACACTTGATTGATGCCTGGAATCACATAGTTGTACTCTGAATAATATGGCAACATTTGTGCTCTGGAAATATAAGTCCAAAATCATATGATTTGTTAAACAGTACACACTTAAAAAAGATTATTCTTTAAGATGTCTTTAGTAAAGAAAACGGATTTAAATATAGAACCATGAACACTCAAGGAAACCTTTGCCTGATTATCTTAAAAGAGTTCCTCAGATTGATGGAGAATGTGCTGTAGATGGTTTTGTGTAGCACATTTTTGAACATGGTTCTATGTAGTACCAAAAAGGGTTCTTCTACTGTTACGAGTGACATCGTAACCATAGTAGAGCCCATTTTGGTGTCACATAAAACCCTCTTAAAGGAGACATGAACTCACAAGGTAAAAGAGGTCATTTTTAATTGCAGGTTGAATAAAGGTCTGCAAATAATTGGATTTAAAGAGTTATCACACTCTCTTTCAGGTGCACAGTGTGCAAAATGATTTCATGGTCCAAAATCATGAAATTCTTCAAACGGTAGATGAGAAGTATGGAAGGTACTCAAATGTCACACTTCATGAGAACAAGGCTTTGAGTCTTGATAACAGAACAGACGTAACTGTAATATTTATTGTGTAGTCAACTTACCAATATATATTAACGTAAATGTTCTTATGTGATTTGACTAAAAACAAGATACTTTTGAACATAACGTATAAAATACTGATTAGGTTTGGTTCTATTCCGTGACTTCAGCCTGAACATTAGGGTTAATTTTAAGAATTAACTGAATAGAAAAGATGCAAATCTTCATAGCAGCACCACTTCATAAGAATGTCAAGTGACTTTATAGAGTATTATAAGCTGCAGTACTGTGCAAAAGTCCCTTCATTTATCTTCCATCCCAAGCTGTTCTGTTTTCAGAAGGTGTTTCTGAGGAGATTAGATAGAAGATAATCCACTTGCCTAAAGAAGGAGAAAGTGAAAGAAAAAGAAGGTTCCAAAACTCTCATTAACCCCTTAAAATCCCAGACTAATAACCTACTAAGGTTATTATTTCAGTAACTACAGGGAATTCAGTACAAACTGGCTGAGCTATTCTAAGGCTATAGAAGTGCGGAATAAAACTTTGGGCCTGCTGGTGGGCCCTGACCATTTAAAGGGTTAAATGAGTGCTAACAACTGTGCAAGACCTGATAGACACCAAAACTGTCCCCATCATATAAACAGCACTTAAAGCTGCTTCAGATCTGAAAACATCCACAGGTGTTTCTGTCCATCCTTCCACTGTGAGAAGACGACTCAGCGCTGTGGGTCTGGAAGGATGTGTAGCTGTCAAGAAGAACCTCACTGAGAAAAGGAGACGGACACATCAAACAAAGAAGCTGGACAATGGACTGACCACCCCAGAGTCCAGACTTCAACATCACTGTTTGGGATTGCCTGAATGGTGGAAATCAGAAAATGCAACCAACTTCTAAGACTGAACTTGTGTGGAAGTGTGGAAAAATGCAGATTTCTTTGAAAAACTGAAAGCGAGTCTCCTGAAATGAACGGACCCTATAATAAAGCCACTCTAAATGGTAAAAGGTTCTTGATGTTGAAAATAAAAGTCTTGTACTCAATGGCTGTTTTGACTGAAATGAAATTAAATGAAATAAATAAACAAATAAATAAATAAATGCGAGTCTCTGGCCTTTCCACAGTATTGAATGTGCATTACTGTTGCAATAACCACACTGCAGAGATTGCTGTAGTTACCAAGGAATTCAGTCCAGCTTGAGAATATCCTCCACAAACACTGCCTCCTGCTGGATAACTCCCAAGGTTATTAAAACAATGGGATGCTGAAGATCTGTTATCTAATTGGACATCAAGCCAAAGCATGCTCAGTCCGGCTCATGCCTTTGACTGGGTTTGAGCGCTGCGGGATGGACAACATGACTGCTGGGGTGTTGAAGCCAGCAGAATGCTGCTGAGGCAAGGGGAGAAACTTACGGGAATAATCTAAGAAGGGATTTAGTGGATAAATAAATAGCAGATGGGATATATTTCAGTGGAGGGCTAAACAAAGATGCTATCACTCTCATATGCTCTCTTGTGATCTCTCCACCTCTGCTCGTTTGCTCTTTTTTCACTCTTCTTGTCTGGCCTTTTTCTCATTGTCTCTTGCTTTGTGTTATTTTGCACACGGAAGAGTTGATAAATTTAGCTTACTTGATTCTTGATATTAGGACTACATGCACTGAGACTTCATAACACATGCAAAACAATACATTACATATTTATGAAGTATATTTGAACATTTGTTTGTAACAGCTTATACCAGTAATGACATGATGTAAATGACATTGCATTGACACAAGGGCCCTTAAACTAAATGGATGGACATTTGTTCCATTTAATACACTGTTGTGAGAGGTCACTTCCAAGTAAAGGAAGTTATATCTGTTCTATATATTTGTACTTGAGTCATTTCTGTTTATACAACCCCATTTTGAAAAAAGTTGGAATGCTGTGAAAAATGTAAAGATAAAATACAAAGAAGTGCAAAATATTTAAACCCTATATTTCTTTGAATATAGTACACAGACAAAGACCTGTCACCACTGACGACATTTGGTGCATTATGAAATGAAAAATATGACAAATGAGCCCCCGAACTGTTGAGCAGCTGAACTCCTGTATCGAACAAGAATTTCAAAACTACAGCAGTGTCTCCTCAGATCCCAAACACACACAGAGTGCTGATAAAAGAAGAGGTGATGTAACACAGTGGTCAACATGCCCCCGTCCCATCTTTTTTGGAACGTGTTGCTGGCATCAAATTCAAAATGGGCATATATTTTTCAAAAAACAACATTTCTCAATTTCAACATTTGATATGTTTTCTTTGTAATATTTTCCTTCAAAAATATGGTTTATGTGATTTGCATATCATTGCATTTTATTTTTATTTACATTCTGCACAGCGTCCCAACTTTTTTCTGGAAATGGGGTGGTACATAATTACATCTTTAGGAGTTGAACACATCATTCAGACTAGTTTGATGTGAAATGCTCTGAAAAAGAGTCGGAACTCTTAACAATGGTGATGATAGGAACCAGACATTTGTTGATGATAAAGATTCATTCAAAACCTGTATCAGCCGTGTGAAAAAGAAAACGGTCCCTAAGCCTAATACATGGTTGAGCCACCCTTGGCTGTAACAACTGCGATCAAATGTTGGCGATAACTTGTGATGAGTCTTTTGAATCACTGTGGAGGAATTTCAGCTCGCTCTTCTTTTACTGAATTGTTTTAATTCAGTCACATTGGAGAGTTTTTAACAACAACTGCCTGTTAAAGGTCTTGCCACAGCATCTCAATGGGGTTCCAGTCAGAATTTGACTTGGCCCTTTAAAACCTTACCTGTAGCTTTGGCTGCATATGTCAATGCAATGTCATTTACACCACATGACATCTTAGGTCATCTTGCAATTATGAGCATGAGCTGTTTATAAATATTGCTTTATAAATATGTTATTCAACACGATGTGCTGTGCAGTTTACTCCATCATGCATGTAAACATGCTCTGAAGGTATTGTGCAATGAAACGATAACCACTTAATAATGCGCAACCTCTGCAAATCACTTTAATTGACCAATATAATATACTCTTCATATAACACAACATTTACATATACATAAATAGGTCTTGTGTGGTTGTGCTCACCCTTCTATACATATTACAGGAGTGTGCATGTAAACGTACAGGAGAATTGTACCAGCGCAAGTGCTACAACGTGTTCCTTTGATCATTCACAGACCCTCTGGTCCAAATTACCTCTTTCTATAAATTCTGTACTGTCTGGACTAATGTAATACAATACAGGACTTTGCACAGATTACAAAAACAATGTAAACATTAACAGGGAACTTAAATGATGTTGAACTATAAGTCACAGGCATAAAAACATGGCAAGAAAATGTGCAGAATGATATATACACTGGCAAAAACCTTTATGGTCCTCAGTGGAAGAGACTGCTGTCTACATTTATAAGTAAATGGAAAAAGGAAGGACTGCATAAACATGAATATGAAACGGAGATCTGGAGGACAGATTGTTCATGTTGATCACATTCAATAGTCTATAAGTAATAATGAAAGCAAAAATAAAATTGGACCACATACAGCACTGTGCAAAAGTCATAGACCACCCTATCGTTGCTGTCCAAAGAAAACCATGTATCACCATTTTTGTCTATATGTTTTTCTACATCATCTGAACACACCAGCTGTCTTTTATGTTGTGTGAAAATTTCATGATGAATGGACCAATAGAAATGCTTAAAAATCACGTGGATTCAAATCTCTTCACGTAGACGTACATTGAAATTTAAGAGTGTTTTTGCCTTCTCCTGTAAAGTTACTATTTTGGAGATACTTATTTTTCTTTGGAAAGCAACGCTTTATTTATTTAATTTCCAGTCAACATGGCTATTAAGTACAAGTCCTTCATTTGTCAGGAGATATTTCTGAGGAGATTAGATATAAGATAGTCCACTTGGGTTGAAAGTCAAAGGAAAGTGAAAATAAACAAAGAGTTTCCAAAACTAGAGTTTGAAAAATGATTAGAGAAAATGTGAATTCTAACAACCACCTGCAAGACCCAGAACATACCAGATAAACATTACTACCAGATAAACCAACTACCAAGACTGAACTTTGGAGGTGTGGAAAAATATCCCTGCAGATTTCTTTGAAAAACTGAAAGCGAGTCTCCTGAAAAGATATGGAAGTTGTAATAAAGGCAGAGAGTGGATACACCGAATACTAAACAAGATTATATTACATGAAATTAAACAAATAAATAAATACTGAAACTGAAGCTGAAAAATGAATAACTTGTTTATAATGGCCATTGTCACTGGAAATTAAATAATGAGGCCAGGGGGTCTCTGACCTCTGCATAGTACTGTACAACTCTGAGGTCACCCCGTTACCATCATAGTAGTTAATTAAGGGTTTGACGAGTGGAACCTTATGCCAACTAGAGCAGCGTAATGAAGCCACAAAGGTGCAGGATGACATCGCTAAATGTCAGCCTACAAGCTACCAACTCCACGAACCAGTTTGTGTGTGCATGTAGAAGCATTCGGGGTGATTCAGAATTCAACAGGACTTGCTGGAATGCCTGCTGGCAGCAGATTCATGAGAGAAATATTGACTGAGTGCGTCATCTGGTTTGGTCCTTGTACTCCAGACGCTGGCCTTGACCACGATGGAAGCTGATTGATTAAAAACATTCAATGTCAAGAAGACTTCTGATAATGGGTTTCTTTCTCTGAACCATAAAAGGGAAAATGCTTTCCTTGCTAGTAGGGATGGGACAGTTATCGGTTGATATATCACAGCATAAATCCCAATTATAATCATACAACCAATATTGGTTTTAACCAATAATAATTCTGATGTATGATTAGCATCTTTTTAAAAAAAAAGTCATGGTGGAAATAAATTTACTTGCTATAGTCTCCTTGCCAAATGTGCACCAAGATAACTCAGTTATACTCAGTATAATCACAGTTATAATAACTAGTGCCGTTGACAATTTCATGTTTATTTTAACTTTTTGAGTTATTATTTAAATGCAATTACATTACATTATTTCTTATTTCCTCGCCAACAATTTTGAGTCTGCACTTCTGACTTTTTTGTTGGAAGATTCACAAAAACACTGCAAACATGTAAATTAACAATTATTAATAACTATGTTTTTCTTTCTGTATACACAACAATAACTTTTCAATTCAAATCTTAATAAAATATATCCCCTCTTCTGCTTACAAAAACAAAGGGCTGCACTTTCTCCCCAGTTTAGTCTTCACTCCTGTTAGCTAGGTCTATCACACATTGCTACCAAGCTGGGAGGGTAAAGGCTAAGACATGAATGTCACCACATCTTTTCAAACTGCTGCAAATGCAAAGTCATTGGAGAGCTCAACATGCTTGCAGGAGGACGCTAATTCTGTTATGTCAGCTAATAGATGCCAGTTATCTAATCTTGGGCCCAGTTTCAATTATTTTTTTAACTTGCTTGTGTCCATTTTGACTCATCACTCAGATGTTTGTCACGCTAATGTTACACAAGTAGCCACTCACAGTAGGAGTGCAGGAGACAGCAAGGAGTACATTGTACAAATGGCATGCATTTGCCCTTGGCTAGGTTAGATTCAGTGAGCTAATTGGCTAGTTTAAACATTACATACATTTTAAGAGTAAATGCTTTGTCTGGCTACAAACTCGTATAAAATCATGTTTAGAGCCTTTTTTGTTGATATTATTAATGTTACCTTTAGCATTCTACCTAGCCAGCTGGCAGAGTAAAGTGATGAAGTTGTATTAGTAATCGTGTATAAGAGATGGCACAGTTTGTAACCTAAAGCACAGAAAATTGAATGTTAGGGTTTTGAAATGTTAAGCATTTCAGAGTAGGTTACTGCTGTGGCTTATACACAGTTTTGTCCACCATTTTCTTGGGGTTTGAAAAGGGAAATGCATCAGGTTGCAATGATTTATGGGGGAATTCTGCTGCTGAAGTCAGCATTTATGTTTACTCAGACCCCGACTCCTCCAAGGGTCCATTAAATAAACTTTAAGGGAGTTAATAAAGTAATGGACTTGTACTTTAGATGCCAAGGGGAAATGATAAGACCAAGTGGACGAGGGCATGTCAAAACTGGTATCGAACTGGTATTTGACTTGGACTCTTCTCCTGGACTCGCACATGACTGTGGCATTGAACAATAGGGCCAATAAGACCAAAGCTTAGAAAGCTGAACCACCCAAAAGCCCCTATAATACATATTCTTGATGGAATTCAGCTGCTTGTTTCAAAGATCTACAAGTAAGAAATTATTTATATTTAGTTAAGACATGCTATGGTTATCACTGGCATTAAAATCAATGTCAACCGTAAATCACATTGTCTTTTCACGATCTCTGAGCTAGCTGAGCGTTTTCACCCGTTGATAGGTTAGAGTGGTGAAAGGGGGAGGTGAAACATGATAATACCGCAATGATAAAATTCCAAACTATAATACCGCAAACTGTCCCATCCGTATTTGATAGTTTCTTCTGCTAACCAATGCGCAAGAATAACAACGAACATCAACGTTCACATCACGGACGCACTGTAGACCACGTTCCTATCTAACAACGACCATCTACTCAGTCACGAGACGCTGTTTTCCGGCAGTGAGGAGAGCCAGCCCATTTCCATGGCGATGATAATGGAACCCTGGTTTTGGCTGAAGAAGTGTGTATCGGGACCGGCTCCTGGATCTTGTTCTCTGCTCTCGCACAGCTCAGATGGTGGAGAAGTCGTCCTGGGAGGCTGATGCCCGGTGGGTGCTGGGGCTGCATTTGGTCAGCATGGTGATCTGAGTGCTGGAGTGGTTGCCGTTGCTGGCCAGACACGGCTGCTGGTACTTAGTGCCCGTTCCCAGAAACCTCTGCATGTGCCACCGCCGCCATTTACGCTTAATCTCAGACTGCACCTGGACGAGAGACAGAGAGAGAGAGAGAGAGAGAGAGAGAGAGAGAGAGAGAGAGAGAGAGGGAGAGAGAGAGAGAAAGAGAGGGAGACAGAAAAGTAAGAAAAAGAGGAAACAACAGATTAAGGAGAAAATGAAAAAGAAGAGAAAGACAAAAAATAAGTAAGAAGTATGAAAAAAGGAGAAACAGAGATTAAAGAAGAGAAATCGGGAGAGGAAAGAAAGATAGAGAAAGAGAGAGAGAGAGAGAGAGAGAGAGAGAGGAGAACAATAAATGAGGGCAGTGAATGAAAAATCACTCTAACAGGAATTATAATTTACTTTGTGGAGAAAAAAGGTTTTTCATCCTCTTTCATGTTTTATCAGTTTCAGACAGTTACTGTAAAGTTAACCCTATCAAAAAGTGCTGAAATCAGGGATTAGGAACAAAACAGCTTCAAACAGCATCAAAACGTCTATAAAAAACCAGCACTTGTGGTAAAATCCAGCTCTGTAGTTGAATGCACAATAAGGCAAAGCGTTAAATGGACACTGTGACCAAAATGAAAATGTAACCATTAGTACACCTGTTGTAAACATGCAAACTTGTCTAATACAGTGGTGCCAGAATAGTCCTGAGAGTTAGATTTTCCAGCTTAAAGACCAGGATAACCCCCTCCTGATGATGTATCTTGAAGGGGGTGATCTGTCTGTTTGTAAGTAGAAGTTTGAAACAAATTGAAGCAGGACTCAAAGCTGTCGATACAGAATGTAAATCGAATTTAAATGTAATTAACCATGTAACTACACAGTGGAATGTCTAATTATGTTCAATTAAAATATTAGGCTTTTAAAAAAACAACAGCTAGGCCTCTAAGGGTAAATTCTGTTTTTCTTTTTTTTAATTAATTATTTTTTTTTATTGTAGTGTAGAATGATGTTTGTATTACCTCTCCATTTAGGAAGCAGTACAGGACGGCGACACAAAAGCCCTGAGGAAAGTAAAAAAAAATCAACAGTTGATTACAGGTCTGGATTGGATGTACAGTCATGTGAAACATGACCATGAACTCTCAAACCCAAGCTGACAGGCAGGATACCATACACATCATCACAGAATGGACAGCACAGCACATTTTTCAGAGCACATTGCAGTTGCTACGCTACTGATTAAGTTTGTTCACATGAGTCCAACTGGAATGACCATAATGACCACTGTGAAAGGTGTAAACATGTATTGTAAGTGCACTTGGTGATACATCATGGTATGGTGGTAAAACAAGTCAGATAATCCACCTGAATAAGGAAGGGAAAGCTCAGAATTAAAATAAGTAAAAAAAGAAGAGTTTCCAAACTGGAGTTCTAAAAATGATTAAAAGCTACACAGAAAGTGGGGCTCCTAACAACCACCTGGAAGACCATGTAGATACCAAAACTGCCCCCATCAGATAAACAGCACTTAAAGCTTTCATCTTTGAGGGAGAGGAGAAAATCAAGCTGCTTCAGATCTGAAAACATCCACAGGTGTTTCTGTCCATCCTTCCACTGTGAGAAGACGACTCAGCGTTATGGGTCTGAAAGAATGTGTGGCTGTTACACAGCCCTCTACATCATTGAAGGTGCTTGGAATTACTCGCATGGTGAAAAGCAGAAAATTCTAAACCAACTCCTAAGACTAAATTTGGAGGTGTGGAAAAAATTCCCTGCAGATTTCTTTGCAAAACTGAGAGTGAGTCTCCTGACAAGAATGGAAGCTGTAATAAAGGAAAGAAGTGGCAACACTAAATGCTGAAAAATTGATATTATATTAAGTTGTTGAGTCTTTTGTGTAATTATCTGTTAAATATATGTTTTCTGCCTTTTCTTTACTGAAACACGATTAACTTCTACTTAATGGCTGTTTTGACAAGAAGTTAAGTATAACAAGGGTGGTCTGTAAATTTTACACAGCATTGTATGTCATTTGCTGGATGGTTCAGAATTTTTCAAATGAATAGATAGTAATTAAATAGGTTTCCCTGCTGGAAATATGCTTTCTGTCTGGTTAGCCTTTACAATACTGCGTAAGTTTCCCCAAAAGAAACAGAACACAACAAAACACAACAAGAAACAGAACACAACAAAACACCACAGGAAACAGAACCGACAAAACACCACAGGAAACAGAACACAACAAACACCACAGAAACGAACAACAAAACACAACACAACAAAACACCACAGGAAACAGAACACAACAAAACACAACAGGAAACAGAACACAACAAAACACCACAGGAAACAGAACACAACAAAACACCACAGGAAACAGAACACAACAAAACACAACAGGAAACAGAACACAACAAAACACCACAGGAAACAGAACACAACAAAACACCACAGGAAACAGAACACAACAAAACACCACAAGAAACAGAACACAACAAAACACCACAGGAAACAGAACACAACAAAACACCACAGGAAACAGAACCGACAAAACACCACAGGAAACAGAACACAACAAAACACCACAGGAAACAGAACCGACAAAACACCACAGGAAACAGAACACAACAAAACACCACAGGAAACAGAACACAACAAAACACCACAGGAAACAGAACACAACAAAACACCACAGGAAACAGAACACAACAAAAAAGAATTGGCTAATTAACTTTATTAGTACTAAATTAACATCATCCAATATCATGATATTTCCACCCAATACTATTGTGATCAACCTGAAAGTAATGACTCAACTCTGTTTTGAAATGTTAGAATTTTATTCGATTTGAACATTTCATAAAGCATGCTATAATTTCTTGGCCAAATTACAATTCTGAAGCTATCATCACTCATAAAAATACAAAACAGCGTGGTATATTTTCTATATTCCACTACTCTGTAAATATATACTACATGTCCAAAAGTTTACAGACACCTGCTCATCCAGCATTTCTACTAAAATTAAAGGTATTAATATGGAGTTTGTTCCCCCTTTGCTGCAGTAGCAGCCTCTACTTTTCTGGGAAGGCTTTACACTAGATATTGGAACACTGCTGTGAGGATTTGATTGCATTCAGCCACAACAGCATTAGTGAAGTCGTGCACAGATGTTGGATAATCCGTTCTGCATCGTAAATAATAAGGTGTTGGACAAGGCTTTTGGTATTTATTGTGATATATTACATTTTATGAATTATTATTATTAAATTATTATCTATAATTCGATTAAATAATTAACATTCTAAATAACTATTAAATAATACTCAAAATAATATATTTAAAAATGAGGCTTACGGCTTGAGTTCTATCACACCAGCGAATGCATTTCCACTGCTCCACAAACCCAAAGCTGAGGGTCTGTATACCCCTCTAGCCAATGCTTGGCATTGGGCATGGCTCATGTTCGGCTGCTCCAGAGCATCTCGTTCTATTCGCAATGCTTTCCTATAGAGATTATACAAGCTTTGCAAAAACACCTGTGCAGCAATACGTGAACCTTAAAGTAGCTGAATTCAAACATTAGAAGGACTGTCTGGATATATTTGAGACTTTATGATACATTCAATCATTTCGTAAAAAATCATAATTGAAATGTTTTGGGGTCAAACATTTGCAACCATGGTGTCCCTGTGCATGGTTGTGCTCTCAAGCATCCAGTTCCTCAAAAGTATCTCAGTAAGAATCGTCAAACAGCTAAAGGATGCTCTGTATCACTGCACAATGACCTTTAAGTTACGACGCTTTGGGGGATTTTACTGACTCGTACCAACCTAAGAGGTTTTATACAAGTGTATTTACTCCCAATGACACGGCCATATTTCACTTTCTATATATATTTTATTGGACTGCAGAAAAAAATGATTGGTTGGCCATGTTTCTATCCTCATGTAACCTTTCTGGCTTAAAAACAAACATGGAGAGAGGTCTGGGTGGGGGGGGTGGGGTGAGGGGGGGGGCGAATCCCAGGATATGTTCATCACTGCTGCTGCCATTTTCTGTATTCTCCTGGCATTTAGAGAATCCAGGACAGATAAACAACAATGAGAGAGAAATAAATATCGAGTTTGTGTGTATGAGTGTGAGAGAGTTGAAGTTTACTGATGCATACCTGAAAAGAACCCAAGATAAGGTCAAACACCAGCCGCACATTAGACTGTATGTGATGAGGCATGAAGGCGAAGATGATGTAGTTTATTCCAAACAGGGGAATCAGAAGGAGAGTTGATTTTGCCAACCTCCTGCAAAGTTAATTAACACATTCAAAAAATGGTGATGAGTGCAGTAAATATAGCCTAAATTAACTCCATGCATTATAAAGTTAACTTTTCATTTTAGTAACACAATCGCAAAGTGCTTTACCCACGTAAAACATTTTTTCATGTGAATTTAAAAACAGCTATCACACTTTCATTCCTAATATTTCTGGAATGGTATTTCAGAGTTTCAAAGCTATACTTTATGGCCAAAATTTTGTGGACAACTGACCATCACACCTATAGGTGCTTGTTGGACATTCCATTTCAAAACCATGGCCATTAATATGGAGTTGCCCCCTTTGTGGCTATACCAGCCTCTGCTCTCCTGGGAAGGCTTTCAACAAGAGCGAGTCTGTGGGAATTTGTGTCCATTCAGTTTAAAATGCATTTGTAAGGTCAAGCACTGATGATGGACAAGAAGACCTGGCTCTCAAATGATGTTACAATTCATTCCAAAGGTGTTCAGTGGAACTGAGGACGGGGCTCTGTGCAGACCAGTGGATGTCCTGTATACTAAACTCATCAAACCATATCTTTATGAACCTGCTTTGCGCAGTGAGGCACAGTCATGCTGGATCAGAAAAAGCCTTCCCCAAACTGTTGCCACGAAGCCGAAAGCATATAACTGTTTAAAATGTTTTAGTATGCTGTAGCAGTGACATCACCCTTCACTGGAACCAAGGGACTGAGACCGAACCCTAAAAAAGCCCCAACAGCATCCCTCCATCAAACTTTACTGTTGTGTGGTGTGAGGCTTCCTTCCATTTCACAATAAGAGCACTTACACTTGACCAGCACAAATCTAGCAAGGCAGAAATTTTATGAACTGACTTGTGGTAGAGGTGGCAACCTAAGACAGTGTCACATTTAAAGTCACTAACCTCTTCAGGACGACTCAATCTACTGCCAGAGTCTGTCTGTGCTTGGCTATGAGCTTGATTTTACCTGTTAGTGATGATTTTGGCTGAAACACCTGAATTCAATAATTAGGAAGGCTGTCCACATACTTTTGGCCATACAGTGTATATAAAAATGATTTTCCACCAACTGAGCTGTGCGAGATCGTAGGCATTTGCAGTAAACCTGCTTCAGCTGAGTGAGGTGATCTGGATGGGCTATATCACCTAAATATATCAGAAAGATATGCTGGAGCTCAACCATTAAGAACTTGTCATAGACCTTCATTTTTCTGTTACATTCTGAACTAGTTGGAGCCGATTTAGAGAGAAAGCAGGGCAACCAGCCAGACACGTTACATTAGCCTAACCTAGCATTTCTGAAAGGATTAACTCATTTTCCTTCTACAATAATGCTATTTTCTGCTATCGCCTCTATGGGATTTCTGGTAGTATGTTAGCATGGAGGAAACAGTGGTGAACATTTTTTGGAATTTCTAGATTGAAGACTTTTGAAGCTTGTAAACGATACTCCCTGAAACTTGTTACAAAGATGTTAACATATTTATCTTGCATGTACTTACACAGTGACACAGTTAGAAGCCCCGACATAGAGCCGCAGCTGTACTAAAAGGCCCTAAATGCTAAAATAATGCTAATTTCTGCTATCGCCTCTATGGGATTTCTAGTAGTAGGTTAGCACAAAGGTAAAGGTGGTGAACAATTTTTGGAATTTCTCGATTTCTATCAGTTCTAAAAGGCTCTAAAGGTTCCCCCCTGTTTGATTTTGATAGTCATAGTGTTGTTTAGAACATTTTCGCTATCTTTTCGTTGACATTAAACAAATTGAAGGCTCAAATCTGTCGATACAGAATGTAACTATGTAATTAATTCTATACATTTACAAAGACATGCAAAATAAAAAAATGCAAAACAAAAATAATTAACCATCTAATTTTTCTGATGTTGAAAAATCTCTCATTTTTGCCTCCAAGTATGTATAATTCACATTTGAACATAAACTCACGAGTATTGGTTTGATTCATTCCTGCCAATGTCCCTGCAGTTTATTTTCTGCCGGAGAATCCGGATGATGCAGATGAAGAGAATGAAATTCATCTGAAAAAAGGCAAATCCAGGTTTAATTACAATGCAAACTTACAGTGCCACTACTTTATAGTAAAAGATTCCAAACACAGCAAAGAAAGAGATGCACTAAAATTGAAATATGCACAAATACAATATACATCAACACAATTTTGTCGGTGTTTACTTATTTTTGGCAATAGGTATGTTGATGTAATACATTTTATTCACATGAAAATGACATTTTTTCCACTCTACTGTAATTGCACAGTCAGACTCACCAGGATTATTAACAAAATAGGAGTTCTTATGATCCACCAGAGATTATCATCAATAATATCCCAGCATCTGTAGAGGAAAGAATAAGAACAATGCAATTTGTACATTTCACTGAGGCTCTATTTTCCATTTAGAGAGATCAAAGCACGACTATCAAAGTTTACCCTATTTTGAGTAAACCTGAATGGAATAAAGCTGTGTTTGTTTGGTGCGATCGCTTTAGTTAAGACGCACTAAAATGCTCGCTTCAGTTCCAGACAGCGTGACTCATGGACTGAAACCTGGATCTGATGCAGTTTCACTGTACAGAGCAATAAATCCTGCCTCCATTATCTCTGCAAGTGATTTACAAGAATATGACTTGCGATTAAAATAAATATTGCAAAATGCTCTCATCCCAAATGGCAGGGTGAATATCAGTCTGGTCAGATGCAGAGTTGTATTTTGTTTTATGCTAATCAGTGTAGCCTTTCACTATAGCCATGCACAACACACAGTACCATGGCAGTAATGTGTGTAAAGCACAAAAATGCACTTTGTGTCTATTTTTGATACAATGTAGTAGTTTCTGTCTAGAAACGGTGCAAAATTCATTATTCTTGCTACACTATAGGGCCAAAAGTATGCAGGCACCCCTCCTAATTATTGAGTTCAGGTGTTTCTGCCTATCCTTTGTTAGGAGTTCCAAAATGTCTGTGGAGGCTACATCAGCACAAGAACCATGCATAAGGAGCTTGAAATGGGTTTCCATGGCTGAACAGCTGAACACAAGCCCAAGATCACTAAGCAAAATGCCAAGTGTCAGCTGGATTGGTGTAAAGTACACAGCCACTGGACTCTGGAGCAGTAAAAACATGTTCTCTGGAGAGATAAATCATGCTTTACTCTTTGGCAGTCTGATGGACCAATCTGGGTTTGGTGGATATCAGGAGAATGCGACCTACTGGAATGCAAAGTTTGGTAGAGGAGGGATAATAGGCTGGGGCCGCTTTTCAGGGTTTGGGCTCCTTAGTTCCAGTAAAGAGTGATGTTAATTCTACAGCACACAAACACTTTTCAGACAATCATATGCTTCCAACTTTGTGGGAACAGTTTGGGTAAGGCTCTTTCCTGTTATGGCACAACTGTGCTCAAATCAAGGTCCATAAAGACATGGCTTGATGAGTCTGGTGTGGAGGAACTCCAGTAGCCTGCACAGAGCTCTAACCTCAACCACACTGTACACTTTTAAGATGACCTGGAACATCGATTGTGAGTCAGGCCCTCTCGTCCAACATTAGTGCCTGACCTCACAAATCCTCTTTTGACTGAATGGGCACACATTCCCACAGACACACCCCAAAATCTTGTGGAGGCTGTTATAACCAGAAGTAGGGGGGAGCAATGCTCATGGTTCACTTATATTCAACAAGCTCATATAAGTGTAATGGCCAGGTGTCCATCTACTTTCAAGGTCCATAATCAAAACAGCAAACATACTCTGAGCTGTAGCAGCAGCGTAAAACCAGTACAAACTTAATGAAAGTTCTACAGTCTGTCTGGATCACTGAGAAATCAGCCGATCAAACCTGCAGGTTATTTTTAACTCGATCATCGCTGAAAAAAAAACAAAAAACATTGATAAAAATGCTTTTTGCGTCATCAACTTGTTAAATCCAATGTGAAATAGTAAGTGTCACAGAGCAGTATTGCATTGCCATGTGGGAAAACTTGAACAATACAGGAAAAGATGAGTGTCTCTCAAATTATTTAGATTGGAAAATCAGTCTTTTTGGGAATGACTCCCTGCAAGTTTTCCCTATTTGCAACTTATCTGTATGTGTGTTATTTGTGTCAGTAGCCAATCATGGGTGTGTCTAGTTCAATTTATCAAAACTAAATTTGGTTCATTGGTTGATTGTGTAACTAAGGGGCAAGTACTTTTTCACACAGGGCCAGCTGGTGTTGGATAATTCTTTTCCTTCAAAAAATGAAATGATTGTTTAAAAACAGTATTTTGTGTTTAAGATTGTCATTGTCTAATATAAAAATTTGAGGGCCTGAAACGAGTGTGACAAACACGCAAAACGAAATCAAGAGGGGTAAATGCTTTTTCACAGCACTGTAAATTTTCAGTACTACTGAATAATAACTTTTACAGCGTAGACTGAGATCATTGTAAATTGAAATGTATAGCTCTGCTGACACAATGATACTTTTAATTTAAAAAAAAATGATAATCTGATTTTTGAACTACGAAATTCATTCAGTTCTTTCTCATGTCTTCTTGCTGGTTGTGCACTCTGTTCTAAAAATAGGCTACTCCTGACCTTCGCGACGACACCTCATTTATTTCCACTGTAAGACCAGAGCCTCGAGATTCAGCCTAACAGCAGTTCTGCTGAATCGTGTCTGCAGGCCTCATGAGTTTAGTGCCGAAAGGAAAAAAATCAATGGGAAACTGATTTGAGCTCATGTGGATTCTTTACTGGATTTTAGTGTTGACTTAGCTGGCTAATGTGCGGCAAAGCAGAAGGCCAGGCTTGTAGGTGACAAGGGACTCCCCTCTAAGTCATAAACACATGCAAACAGGAAAAAGTAGTAATATAAAGAAACATGTTTTTATGCTACATTTGGTTTGTTTATGCTAAACGAATAAAAAACCCACAATCAAGACTGGGTAAGATTGGGTAAATTGTCTTGGGACGCCTGTAAGGAACTGCCTTTGAGAATAAATGTTTGCATGCAGTAGAGCACATGTAAACAAACTAGCTTTAAAAATGACTTTGAGGGAAAATATAATGACTCACCCAACATCATGTAAGTAAGCTTTTGTAATGCTCCATGTGGTGATGAAGACCGCAGGGACTCCTATTAACATTTCAGACACAAACACATGCACACAAAGTTGTTGGAGTGGCTGCTAATGTATAGGAATGAAAACACTTTACAGAGCTGTAAAATCTGGGTTTACTTTCATGATTTTAATGCTGCTAATCAGTTGTATGTTAACCAGTCTATGCAACTTCTACTAGTAAGCACAACACTAATACTTTGGATTAGAGTAACACAATTTATTCAGGGAGTTGCTTTCCACAAAATAAGTCTACTCGACAAACCATATTTTAAGGTAGTGCTGGGAAATATGACAATATTTACTGTTCTTGTGATAAATTACATCAAAGTATGTCACATATTGTGGATATCATCATGTTGAATATAAGTGCATAAGTTCCGCTTATGCATATTTTAAAGCACAGTTACTGTTTATTCACTGAATTTAACAAATTGGGGGAAAATAAAACTTAAAATGTGGCCTGTGCACAAAATATGGCACATTATAAATGTATTTTTTTCCAATATATCATCAAAACACTACCCAACTGCAAGTTTGATTACAAAAAGAGAATAATGAGTCTTGTTTAAGTGAGTTATGTGCAGCGCAGTGTGTGAAATGCTGAATACAAATCAATGGATTCACAGTTTTTTTATAGTGTTTTACAAATGTGGCTCAACGTCATAATATATAAGCATTGTAAAAATGTGTTGTAGTATCATGATATTGTATTTCTGCCATATTGTTCCACCTCTATTTTAACTGCTGCCTACTTAGGCGCCTGAGCAATGGAGTGAGTAGAGCATGTGCATCCCCCACATTTATTAGAGGAAGAGCAAACAAAACTGTTACCTTACCTGCTTTTTATTTCAACAAAAAAACTGACTTCCAGTGGAAATAACTGTATGAGTTTACAAAGTATTTTCATGTAATTTTATTAACCTCCCATATAACAAAACTGTCACAGGAGAAGGAGATCAGTGAAAATGTCTCACGTGTCTCATGTCTCCTCTAACGCAGGAGGCTACATTCATTTGGAAGGCCATTCCTGCCAGCTAGGGCAGAAACATGTCAGCTGTTTTTTCCCTTCTCTGTTTCTGGCAGCAGTATGTAGAAAATTTGACTTTTACCTCAAAACAGTTTGATTATGTTAAAATAACACCTTTTTTCATTAAACCCATTCAGAGTATTGAAATGAGGACTCTCCAGCACAGTATAGTATTTTTGTAAAAAATGACCAAACCAAACTCAATCAACTGCAGCTTCAATGGGGGGCACATGGTGGTCAGTCATTTTTCTGAGAGGGCTGGTGCCTCTCCAGCCTCCTTCCCCCAGATACGCCACTATTTTTGAGTGAATACAGTCATATGCAAATGTTTGGGCACCCCTGCTCAAATTACATGCTTTGTTGAATTTAGGTCCTTTACAGAGAATTGCACATTTAATGCACAGTTACTGTTTATGTGTTGAATTTATCCAACAATATTATATGTGGCTGGTTGGCCAGGTGGGGTGGTTTCCTAAAATGTTAAGTTATGGCACATTTTATATTATTTTTTGAGCAAAAGATGCCATCTTTAAGTGTGTTCCCTGCAGAGGATGTGTTCAACTTAGTTTTTTTACTTGGAAAATCAAAAAGTCATGTAATCCATGTAAACCAAAAACTCAAATTTCTCGGCGTTTATCTTAAATTTTTATGGGTACATTTTTGTGAATCCAGCCCTAGATTAATAAATAATCACTACCTTTTTCAGCTTCATGACACTATCCTGATGAGATTTAGTATAAATATGATCAATTTTTAATGCTGCTATAATTCCATTCACCACATTCCTAAACTTTGTTTATGGTTATTATGGAATCCTGTTTATGGTTATTGTGGAATTTTCAGTGCTTTTTTAAATGGCCTTTAAAACATGATGATCAATAAACATTTCAGCAGAAAGTGCATATTTCCTCAACTTAAAACGTCTTTAAAGTCGCCCAAACTTTTCCGAACTTGGACATTCCAACATATGAAACATGGTGTTGATGCTGAGGAGCCACAACAACTGTAAATCAGGCATTTTATTGATGAACCGTGTGCTCGCACTTACCCCAGCCAATCAGAATGTACCACCAGAAGTACTTCCTGTGGGAGAAGAAGGAGACAGCAAGGAGCGCATGCAAGTAGAGGCCTTCCACCAGCAGCCAAAAGAAACTGGCCATGATTCCATACTGGAAGAACACCATCGCTGCCTTACATCCCACCTGCAATAAATAAAGCCTCTGGGTGAGCGATGTTTACTGGCCTTCTGAACTTGTGTACACAGCAGAGGCATGTTTGCTGCATATTTATACAGAGAGAAAGTCATTAGCTTTTACTGGTTTACTGCATGTCCAGCACAGAAGGAAGGAAATCTTGTGCAACTCCAGTGAAAGGCATCGGCGAGGGGGCATCTTAGGGGGAAATGAAACTTGGGCTACTAACGGCAGCCTTGTTCATATTCGCTGTTTTCTTTCTGAGGCGACTTGCTTGTCCACTCAGCAGTTAATCAAATACACTATATGCCCAAAGCTATGTGGACAGCCGTCCATCCTAATTACTAAGTTCAAGTGTTTCAGTCACGCACATTACAAACAGGGGTATACAATCAAGCACATAGCAGTCTCCATAGACAAACACTGGCACCAGAATAGGTTGTGCTGGAGAGCTCAGTGACCTCAAAGGCACTATCATAGGACACCATCTTTGCCATAAGTAGTCTGCAAAATTTCTGACCTGCTAAATCTGCCCCAGACAACTGTAAGTGCTATTATTGTGAAAAGGAAGTGTCTAAGAGCATCAACAGCTCAGCTGTGAGCACACACTTAACAGGGTGGGCCTGCCAAGTACTGAAGTGCATAGTGCATAAAAATCACTGTCTTATGTTACATCACCCACTACAGAGGTCCAAACTGCCTCTGGAAGCAACATCAGCACAACAACTTTGCATCTGAAGCTGCTTGAAATGGGTTTCCATGGCTGAGCAACTGCACACAAGCCTAATAATGCCAAGTGTTGGCTGAAGTGATGTAAAGCACTCCACCACTGGACATTGAAACAGTGCAAACCAGCAGAATGCTGCCTAACGGAATGCATAGTACCAACCTTTTGATGGAGGAGGAAAGTTTGGTGGAGGAGGAATAATGAACTTGCTGTTTTTCAGGATTTGGGTTTAGCCCCTTAGTCCCAGTGAGTGGTAATATTCATGCTACATCACACAAAGGAATTTTAGACTCTTATATGCTTTGAGCTTTGTGGGAACAGTTTGGGGAAGACCCTTTCCAGTTCCAACATGACTATGTCCCTGGGCACAAGGTCCATAAAGACACGGTTTGATGAGTTTGGTGTGGAGGAACTCAAGTGGCTGGTACAGAGTCCTGACCTCAACCCCACTGAACACTTCTGGAAAGAACAGCAATGTCAATTGCCAGACAGAACTTCTCATCCAACACCAGTGCCTGACCTCGCAAATGCTCTTTTGACTGTACGACCACAAATTACCACAGACACACTCTTTGGGAAAGAGTGGAGAAGAGTGGATGCTGTTACAGTCACAAAGGGGGCACAAGTCCATATTTATGCCTGTTATTTTGGAATGTGCTGTCCAACAAGCTCATATAGGTGTGATGGTCAGGTGTCTGCATACTTTTGACCATATAGTGCACCTATGATTTAAGGCTGCACAACACAGTCATGTTTGAAAGGGTTTGGTCAATTTACAAGTTTTGTTGATTTTGTAAGTAAAAATAAATATACATAAGTTGAACAACTACTATGTACTACTGTATTAAAAATGTATATATAGAAAGAAAAGGCCTGCGCAAAAGTTAAGGACATTTCTAGGATCACTCCTCTCTAACTTTTGCCTTTAGCCCTAATCAGCACTCAGATTTGCATATGATAAAGACCGCCATAAGGCCCAAGTATTATATGGAACATTTTGTAGTGCTCTTTAATCAGGCCTGACGTGCTGAACAGCGCTTAAGTGAGTGGTTTAACGGGGGTAACTAGGGCAGATGGAGTGTTTGCACATCGTCTTTGTGACCGACATGACGTATTCTTCTGGCTAGAAGCTGTGTCCAGGCGACATATTGCACTATGGTCATACAAAGAGTGTTTATACAGTAGACTAACAACTAAAACAACTCCATGCACATAGAGGCCTTTAAAACATTAGCCTATTTGCAGCAAAAGAGAGTTGCTGTTGTGGATGAACTGCAGCCAGCTATTTAAACACTTCACTCGATCTCTGTGGCTTTAATTCAAGATAACACATGAGGACCAAACCAAACCAGACACGGCAGGCTTCGCTGCTGTCTGGCGTAGGGCAAACACAGGCTATCTCCACACCCTGGCAAGGGAAACCATTAGCAACCTCTCCAAAGCTTCTGAAGGGTTTGACAAACACCAGTTTGCCCAGCCATGGCCTCCAGATGAAGGAACATTTGATCAAGCAGCACTCAAAGAGCAAGGCTGGCAATAAACCATTAAAACAACATCGTCCCAGCAAGTGACTTAATAATGTTTGTTTCAGGGGAGGGGAAAGCAAACTAAAGCTGCACAGTCACCAGCTCTGACCTCAGACAGTGGAGCTACAGGTAATTTGGGGTTAGATGAGTAGCAGGTGTGTTGAAGCTAAAAAGGTGCTTGATTAACCCATTTAAATGAGTCCACTCGTCATTTTTTGAATAAAATTCCAGTCAAAACAGCCATTAAATAGAATCAGAATCAGAAAAATTACACACAGAATCAAAATTTTAAGTATACAGCATGTTTTGTTCTTTCTTCTATTCTGGTTGGGAGATTCACTTTCAGTTTTTTAAAGAAATCTGCAGGGACATTTTTGTCCACTTGCAAAGTACAGTCTTGGAAGCTGACTGCATTTTCTGCCGAAGTAATTCAAATTATAAATTTAGACTCCATAAGTCCATAAAACCTTACTTCACATCTCAGATGTCTGGTTTTGATGTTCTAATGTTTTCTTCTTTTTTATTATGACCTTTTCTCAGTAACAGCTTCTTGACACAAGAGTGGAGCTTTATTTTTTACTATCTGTCAAAGATAAAAGCTTTAAGTTCTGCTTATCTAATGGGGACAGTTTCCGTGGTCTACCAGGTCTAAAGGTTAAGGTTGTTAGGAGTCCCATTTTTCTCTGCAGCTTAGTAAGTAATGTGAGTGTGTATCTCACATTACTTACTTGTGTGAATCTTAGTGTCTCTTTAATGAGGAACATATTGTGAATGAATCCCTTGGGAATAGCTTCTGTCTGGAGGACACAGCTGAAACAGGCTGGTTTTAAGATTGGACAGAAGGACAAGTTAAAGTTATATATACTGATAGAAAAATGAACAGATTTGTCCTCAACGTCCATCACCATCTCACAGATTTATTAAAGTCCATTACCAGCACACCTGATTTAAAATAATAAAGTACTAATTAATCAGAAATTATTAGATGATAACTACAAGCAATATTGAGCTTCCTCGAGAAGAGATTTGTAAATGGGTAAACAAACACAATGATATATATAAAATCCTTAATAACTGTTTTAATGTCATTTGTGTTTATTAAATGTAATAGTAGTGTTTTTCTGAACAAATAAACTCCATTTTATCTGCTCCACTCAGAATGAAGGTACACTTTGTAGTTCTACAATTACAGACTGTTTCTCTGCATACTTTATTAGTCCCCTTTCACCTTGTTCTTTAAAGATCAGGACCCCCACAGGACCACCACAGAGCAGGTATTATATTCTCAGCACTGCAGTGAAACTAATGTGGTGGTGGTGTGTCAGTGTGTGTTGCACTATAACGAGTGGATCAGACACAGAAGTGCTGCTGGAGGTGCTAAGCACTGTGCCCACTCACTGTCCACTCTATTATACCAGCGCTCGTACCAGCGCACCTCCACCATGTCAGTGTCACTGCAGTGCTGAAAATGATCCACCACCCAAATAATACCAGCTCTGTGGTGGTCCTGTGGGGGTCTTCACCACTGAAGAACAGGGTGAAAGGGGGCTAACAAAGTATGCAGAGATGGACTACAGTCTGTAATTGTAATTACAAATTGCACCAATATGGTAAATGGAGCTAATAAAATAGAAAAGTGTAATATATATACATATATATCTGTATAAATATAGATTATTTGCTTCTGTCAAATTCATAAACAGAGCTGCAGAAGAAAGAACAAACATATTCTTAAGCTCTAATTCCTCTGTATGCAGTCCAATATTTTCAGTGTGCCTACAGTCAGTGGCTTATTACAGAGTAAGAGTGTTCATCTGAGCTACTGAGACAACACTAAAAACACAACTCTCAAGAATAAAAGCAAGTTTTTTTTGCATAATACAATAAGGTTGATGTAAATAAAATGGCTTTAAAGGCCAGTATTAGGGGTACCCAAAGGGGATCACTAAACTCCGCTGTGCTCTAGGCCTCCACAGCTGGATTCAGTCTGCAGATAGATTTTTTTATTTTTATATGCTGTTACATTTGCCTCTCGTATTCTAGGTCTTCAGAAAAAATGCTCTCCTCTCACTGATTCCAGAAAAATCAAACTGTGAGTGTAAACCATAGAGACTCCACTACAGGTTTTGAATGAAATAAAACCCTCTCACTCTGAAAAATTTAAACACATTACTGGTATAATGCCAGTCTCCGTTCTCTCCCTTGATAGCCAGCACAGCTCCCACAAACTAGTAATACATTTTCCGTATCTCTAGAGCAGCAGGGATTTATTTCATATTTTTCATGTCACTAAAACGTAGACGAAAAACTAAACGAATGAGAGACAAAATGATCTGATAACACAAATGAGTTATAAAAATCAGATTGCTGTACATCTTGTCCCAGAATGAGATGCATCAGGTCAGCTCAGCAGAGGTCAATGTTGTAATAAATATGAATGGATTAAGAGTTATGGTTTGAGTTATAGCACTTTTAGCACTGTATGATGGAATCTCTTTCCAAAGCAAAAAAAAAAAGACCTCTTTCAGTATCTAAACACAGATAAAGGACGATTTAGCAATGGAAGGACATTATTCTAAGTTTCAGCTGAAGTAGCAGCAGCAGCCTTTTTAGCCTGAGATCAATATTGACCATTTTCTGGTTAGTTGTCCCTTATTATATCAAGCACAATTTGTCACATATAATTTATAAGACAAAATTCTTGCTTTGACACGCCTCTAAAACACCTTTTGATTTTTCGTTACATCACTGTGTACCAGAGGGCGAGGAAAATGATAATAACCAATATTAACTAACCAGAAACCCAGAAGCCTTTCTACGTCTTTGCCCTTATATACATAGCAGACATTAGAAATGCCCCCATGTCATGATCCTGCCATCCCCCAGCATCCTCACTACCCTGGTTATGCTAAGCTGTTACCTTTGTTGTACTAACTTACAAAATTGTTACAGGCAACATTGGGAAAATACAATCTCAGTGACTGAAAAGAAGAGATTTGTAGATATTGTAAACAAAGTCAACTATCAACTGTACATTCACACTGTTGTTCTGTATTTAATGTTCGCAAAATGCTGGCCAGCTTGTTAGTTACATGGAAGTATACTAGCTCACATTTTTCCACAAGTAGACACGAATCATGAGTGGGGTTTCAGTATCTGAGTCTCAGTGTCCAATGTCCCGACACTGCATATTCATGTTTTATTTTTTTCCAATATGTTAAACTCAATATGCACTAAAATTTGCATGATGTCTAACTTAACAAATATATAAAATATCCAATATATACGTCTTTGTAAGCCATATTTAAGACGGCAGAGCTTACTTTCACTTCAGAAAAACATGGAATTTGACTCAAAGGCCCAATCTCATCATCTAGAGATAGGAAGTCCTGATTTTGTTGAGATAGAGGGGTAGGGTGAAGTGTTAGGGCTTCATGGCCCTCCAAACGGATATTTTTCAGAGGCACACTCCAAACAGAGTGTAATGAGAAAACTGGCAAGATGGCTGCACAAGCGTCCAAAGAAACACACAAATGTGAGAATTTTCTCCACTAAAATTACAATAACCATTGTATTGTCTTAGTTTAATGTTGTTTCAGTGTATTATGGTCCATTATTTCATAACAGGCATATAAAATCGCTAATAATATGCTGATGTCATGGTAGCTAGCTAGGTTAATTTCCCGTTCCACCTTAAATTGTGCAGTAGTTACATTCTGGCACCTCAGGCATCAGAACTGCTGCACCATTTAAGATGGAACGAGAAAATTCGAACAAGAAGCTGGCAAATAGCTGACTTCAGCTTCGTTCCACTAAAGAATTAGGGGTGGGTGATAATAAATAATTATTGTATCCCTCTTTGAAGGAATATGATGCCCTTAATTTAACTGAAGCCCAGCAGTGAGGAGCTGAACTTTACCCTCCTTTGCTTTCACTGCAGACTGTCAGGGTCGCCTACAGAGCAGCGCTAGTAGCTGTTAATGGGGTCATGTTCTTTTTTATTTGAGGGTCCCATTTCACAGTGGAAGATTTCAACCACTACCCCTGTAACAAAGCAGATATTCCATTGTTTTTCCATTTTTTGCTGCCAACTACAGAGGTGAAAAAAAATGGACGTTGGATTTTTTTGGGAGCCCTGGATGCCACACATCTCATTGTTGAATTCCACACAAAAAAGTATTATACAACAAAACATAGAAGGGAACAAAGCGTCCTGCTTTTTCATTCTTAAACAAACAATTTACACTCCTAAAGCTCTTCTCTGATAATCATCAATTTTCGCTGGTAACGCTGTCAATGTGCCAACATTTGCGTGGCTTCACACTGCAGTCAACAAACCGCACTATGGGAATGACCTTTTTTCAATGCAAACATGTGAATGCAGCACTGGGCTCTTGTGCAGTTGCTCCAAAGCGTTCACTTCAATTGTTCTGTGCTTTTCTGTGGAGATTATACGAGCTGTGTGTCCACAATTAATCAGCTAGGTCAGCAACGGGTGCACCTTAAAGTAACCGGATTTACTACTTTTTGAAACTTTAACAATGTTTAGATATTGGCCTGCATGATACTGGTCTAAAAAGAGAGATAAAGAGGTAAGGTGACACTCAAAATTGAGGGATAGGTATGAAAATAAGAAATGGGATTGGGCCAAGGTGTTCTGGTTCGATCCCCTGAACCAACAGTACGTGACTGAAGTGCCTTTGAGCAAGGCAACTAACCCCTAACTGCTCCCTGGGTGCTGCGGATGGGGCTGCTCACTGCCCCCTAGTGTGTGTTCACTAGTGTGTATGTGGTGTTTTACTGCACAGATGGGTTATATGGCGGAGGTGAAATTTCCTCATTGTGGGACACTTAATTTTAATCATAAAAAGCCAACCAGAAAGATTTAACACACACTTTGAATGCAGGAGGTCTTAATAACTTAACAGGCCTGTAACAGTGGAACATCAGCCAGTGGTTGCTCAGCTTACTGCTTACTGGTTAAAGCAGCAGGTAGCAGCAGCAGACAGCTAATAATAGCAAGCAGCAGACCTGCATGAGATTTACAGAAGAAAGGATTACAGTATCAGAATAACCAGGCAATGATTTACCATCACCCAGCATGTAGTTTCAGCTCAAATACACTGACAGGCCCATCATAAAGCTCCAGCGCATCACCATCCACATTATTTATCTTGCAGTCAGCAGGCCAGATATGACGTAAAACAGATGATCGAGCGCTTACTGGCAGGGTGACAGCATACCCTTTAGATAAAACATGAGCGCAGCGAGCACCCAGCCTGGGAAACCACTGACTAATATGGGGCAAGGCTAATACTTAAGTAAGAATCATGGTGATTAGAGCAAAATGAGTCTCTTAACTGGTGACTGTGTGAACTGAAAATTTAAAACAGAGCTCTAAAAGCCAAACCCATGGGCTATGGAACATATAAAGAAGGCTTAACACTAGATGTTGGAACATGCTGTTAGGATTTGATTGCATTCAGCCACTAGAGCATTAGTGAGGTCAGATACTGATGATGGATGATGAGCTCTGAATCACTCCAACTCATCTCAAAGGTACTAGATGGAGCTCCATCACCAGAGAACACAGTTGCACTGCTCCACAGCCCAATGCTGGGGGGCTTTATACCCCTCTAGCTGATACCTGGCATTGGGTATGATGACAGTTCACACATACTACCTCTACAGCTTGCATGCTCTGTTTGTTCATCAATACAGCGTTTGTGCTACGAACGCTACAGCAAGCAAGTTCTACGGACATCCTTTTAACAAATGGCTCTGTAAAAATATATATTTATTTACCCTCTGCAGCATTCCGACTTTCCGAAATTGTTCCAAGCTTGGTAGACGTACTGTGAGCAAAATGAAGTGTTCAACTAATATTTCATTTAATAACGACCGTGAATTGAAGAAATGAATTTTTTTACGTTTTCATTTGTTTTTCTGTTTCATCTTCAATGATTTCCACATCTTTCTTTTACACATTGTCTTTTTGCTCATGCAGCCTGTGTGAAAGAATACGCATAATTCAGCCACTGATATGTAAGCAAAGTCATGTGAATGGGCTGATTCCTTTACATAAGTGGTGATAGGAACCAGGAGTCGTGACATCTACAACACAATGCGATGATGGAGGGGGGGGAGTCACCGCTTATCCCTGATTATCCCACGACGTGCACTCCTCTGATCAGGGACAGCTGTGCGAAATCAGAGGAGGAGCAAAGACTCGCACTCTTTCCAGTGAGAGAAGAGATGACACTGGCCTCCTGGCCACACACATGACAGAGAGAGCACTAAAAAGAGGGACTCGTAAGATGACGAAGGGCCTTTTGTATTAAGGCTGTGTTTAAGTTGAGCAGGGTTTATGTCACATGCACTACCCTCTCACGATCAGGCAGTGTATTCATAACCATTTTATGTAATAACTTTCTGTGAGGGAGCTTTTAGAGGCATTAAACTCTTCAGACGTCTTGTTCTTATCACTACCACTGTGAACAATTCTGATTCAGTAAAAATTCTTTAGAATGGAGCTCACATTGAATGACTTTGTTTATATCTTTAAATATTTAGTAATGCAAACATTTTGTGTGAAATATGCCTGAAGCTTCATTTACATTTGCGGCAGATGGACAACCGCAAACCAGATATTCCATTGTTTTTCCATCTTTTGTTGCCAATTACAGATGTGAAATAACAATGGATGTTCAATGTTTTTGGGAGCCCTGGACGCCACACATCTCATTGTTGAATTCCACACAAAAAAGTATTATACAACGAAACATAAAAGGGAACAAAGCGTCCTGCTTTTTCATTCTTAAACAAACAATTTACACTTGGAGATTATACAAGCTGTGTGTCCACAATTAATCAGCTAGGTCAGCAACGGGTGCACCTTGATGTAACTGAATTTACTACTTTTTGAAACTTTAACAATGTTTAGATATTAGCCTACATGATACTGGTCTAAAGGGAGAGATAAAGAGAGGTTGGAAAATGATCATGTGAAAATGAACTAAAGACTTATTCTAGTGTAAAACTACACAAATATTATAAATGGAGTTCAAGAATCAAAAACAGAATGCAAAAATGTAGAACAGGGGCCCTTTAAATGTGAAAAAAATCAGGAAAGGCATTTTTCAGCAGATCCAATGTCCCTTTTTTCCAGCATATACAGAGCCAACACGAGGAGGAGGCACTTACAGATCCTGGATCGCAGTGGCCTGGCTCCTCCACTTCATACAGAACAACATCCTTCATAATAACCGCAACCGCCTTCAGAGTGAAGGACAGGAATAGGTGAATGTGGATGTAGTTTCTCGTGCAGTGGAGTTTCCTGTGCATGGAACATAATTCATAAATACATATTTTCTTACTTTGTCATACATGCATATATAATTATTATATGTTTAATATATTTCTGCAACATATTTAGTTAATTAGGCAATCATTTCAGTTCTTGAACCGAAGACGTATTAATCTTAAGACTTGTTTTTCAGTGCCTACTATTAATTATCAGTGACTACAAAGAAGAAGTAGTAAGGAGAATGAGGAACTGAAATCTGGTCTCACATTAGGGCTCTTAGAGTTCAAGATGTTAAGAGTGCATTTTAACAGGGAACGTCTGGGACATTTTGTCTAGCACTGCAACAGATAACAGCATGCATGCACAGGGCCGGTTTTCCTGTTCATTTGAGTTTATGACACATTAGAAGCCACAAAAGGAAGCTACTTAAGATGTGGTGAGTTAAAATGAGGTGCAGCATGGCTCACTGAGGGCCCTTCTTCAACTGTTTTGTTAATGCTGATGTAAGTTAGTGGTCTGTGAGGTAGTTTTACAACAGACATAAGCTCAGCCTCATCTTTTGTTTAGCCTACAAAGACTTTTCTATCCTTTCTATCATTAACAGATAAAGGGCCAGATTCAGAAAACTGGACAGTAACACTTCTATGCCGTGTAAAATGTTCATCAGGGTAGAGAGGAGTTATTCGTAAAGTCCAAACCACCATGGCGGTGATCAGCGCGCTGGTGCATTTTTAACGCTGTGGTATGTTTATTTATGTCCTAAGCAAGAGCCAGTATATGAATGAGGTCATATCTATTGTAGCATTCACCGTTTATTATTAAAAGAGACAAAGCTTTTTGCACAAGTCATGGTGCTTTATTTTCCAGCTGTTTTTTGCCACAGCTATGTTGCACATAAGCAGAGTTTCCTTTTCTCCAACAGCTAGCTCTCTGCTGACTCAGCTCACGTCTCTCGTCTCACACAGCTTTTCTGCTCACAAACATATATCCCCAGTCCCAACCGCCCGAATAAGAGTCTTTAGCAGAATACTCTTGAATAAATGCAGAAGAACAAATAACCTGAAACCAACATGCAAAAGCATTTCTTGAACATGGAATATTAAAGACTCACACCAAATGAAGCTTTGATTGGATGTCAAAAGAAACAAATTAAAAAAAAAAAACACAAAAAACTAAGAAAATAACATTCTTAGAAACATAGCTACAAATTTTGAGATAAGTGCTGCAAATAATGGTAAATAATTGGTAAAAATGCTTTTAACTTAATCAAGAAACAAAGTTTCTTTAACCAAAAAATGTCGTTAGATTAAAAGGCATGTGCATATGTATATATCATCCCTGTCCAAAGAAAAACAAGTATCTCTAAAATAGTAACTTCACAAGAAAGGACAAAAACACTCTTACCTTTCAATGTAAGTTAATGTAAATAGAGTTTATTCTAAGTGATTTTAGAGCATTTCTATTGGTCCATTCATCATGAAATTTTTACACAACGTAAAGAAAAACTGGTATGTTGAAATGATGTAGAAAAATAAAAATCGACCAAAATGGAGATACATGGTTTTCTTTGGACAGCGATGATATTTTTTCCAACTCATTATAATTGTAATAACAATTTTTCTAACACAAGTTAAAGTTTAACATGTGTTTTTTTATTACAATTCAAAATTGACTTTATGTGCTGAAATTTAATTACTATGGCAAGCTGTTTTAGTCTTTATTCCCTACTTTTCTTGATGTCAGAAATGTACACATATTAACTGTTGCTTTAGCTTACTACTGATTAGGCTAACTACTGATTATTTTCTGTCTAACGCGAAAGCTTTAAACTTGAGGCTCTCAATATTGACTGTACATTTGTTCATTTTTTTAAAAGAATAAGGTTTGACCACATTTTCCCAGCATGGCGTGGGCACCAAAATACCCATCTGCATGTATTTGCGGAACACTGATGTACAACATGCCCTCTTTAAAAGACAGTAACAGTAAAAAGGACAGATAAAACATGCAGCAACGATGCTGAGAACAATAAAACATGAATGCTGCCCTCTGTGCCACTTCCTTCAAGCCATAATTAAATCCAGTTTCTATCCATAAAACTAAATGTTCTGTCTTACCTGAAAAAGCACAAAATAAAGATGGCGATAATGAGGGAGATCAGAGACACGATGTGACCAATGGTGTAGCCAATCCTCACCAAGCCCAGAAATTCCCCCTGAGAGAGCAGCACAAAGACAGTTAATACACAGATGGATACAGACATGCCATTCAGAGTGGAAGAGAAAATAACTCTTTACAGATCAGTAACGAGTGGGTAATAACATGGTAATATGACAGTAACAAGTTGTACCAGCTTAAAAATTGCATGCTAATTTTTAATTTGTTAATTAACAATAAATAAGTGTACACAAAGATGTTTTTTCAGGGGTTCTTAAGAAAAGAACATGCTTCTATATATGAGTTCCTCATAGAGCTATTTCATGCTTAAATGTTTCTATACAGAACCTTTTCAAAAGTTGTTGCATATAGCACCAAAAAGGGTTCTTCTATCACTATGATGTTATGCTTGTAACAATAGAAGAAACCTTTTTAGTGTTATATAGAACCCTTTTCTAAATGGTTTCTGCTGAAATGATGTGGTATTGCAGCCGTAATACTAATTTTCCTGCTTCTACTTTGTTCATTACCTATTATGTCTTTAAATGGCCTGCCTCAGTACAATGTACAGACACAGTTACCAGCTGCAATTACAGCGAAACTAAATGGTGTCTGAGCTGTAAATGCAAACTTCCTTCTTTCCATTTTGTTTACTCAGTTACTGCATCTCACCTCAGGTGGTAACATCAGTTCTTCACAGTAATGTGGCTAACTGTATTGATCCAATGACCAAATAACTGTATTATAATCACCTGTGGTTGTTCTATTACTTTTACATGTAGGCCCATCTATAGACCAGCAGAGTTAGGAACAGATTAAATAAATGACGCAGAATCAGGGCAGGAAACACAAGTTCATTTTGTTTTACCTGCTAACAAAATCCTGTTACTCTATCAAAAAGCATGTCATATTTTATGCTAGTACAACTTGTTACCATTAGTATTACCATATGATTACTGATTTATTACTGATCTAGGAAGACCTTCACAGTGGAGGTGATAGAAACCAGCGGTCACAATGTCTACAACTCAAATGTAGACATTTTATTTACTATCCAAAACCACCAGTGAACCTCATGTGTCTTCAGAGTGCTTCTATGTAATGTTGAAGATGGTAATATAGTGGTAAATCTGAAAAAAAACAACTTTTCTTTAGGGAATATTTTGTCTTAGAATGCAATGCATGTACCCCCTCACCATGAATTGTTTTGAAAAATCATGTTTTAGACTTTGTCATTGTCTTATGCAAAAGTTTGAACGCAAACTTTGTTAAAGATATATATTGTGTGAAAATAAGTTAACACACCTCCTACAGAGAACACACTTCAGCATATTTTGCACAATTGCTGCTTATTTACTGAAATTAACATGCTGGGGGAAAAAAAATAAATAAACTTGACTTGTGAAAAGGGTATGGTACAATTTATGTTCCAATGAGTTTCGATGGAGATTTGCAAATAAACACAAATTGGGTGCTAAAATTCCCCTTAGAGGATGTATTAACTTACTTTTACATAGAAAATCAACAAAACATGCAATTTGACCAAAGGGTGTTCAAACTTTTGCACACAACTGTAGCTAATATATACACTCATTTAAGTGCGTGTTTGTCAGCATTTAAAATCAATCATTTTGCCGACACAAAATAACAACTTAATTATTACTTTTGCTACTATTATCACTCTTATTATAATTATATCATCACCATGTTTAAAAAATATTCCAAGTGCTAATTTTATTGCAAATAAAGGCTATTAATCTACATTTTATAATTCTATTCATTTCTTAATTCTTATATGCTGTATCTACTACTGTGTCATGAATGAATCCACAGAGGCAGATTTAACTATCACTCTAAATTGGAATAATAGTTAAGTTAGTAATTCAGTCTGCAGCTTTCATGCTGCATCAAATGTTAATTTGAATGATTCTTTTTGAATGCAGTCCTGATTTTAAATAGATTATGATGGGTAACCAGCCACAGTGTCTGCTGGATGAAACAAATCTACCAATCAGATGTAAAAATGTAGCTGCAGACAACAAAACCTTTAGGCACAGATTGTAAATATGTGTCAGGCTACATGAAGTGGTATGAAGCTGGCCGATGGTTTGAGACCCCTGTTTATAGAGGTATTAAACTCCTCAGACTTGCAGTTCCCATCACCACCACTGTCAACAATTCTGACTCTCTAGAATGCAGCATTCTACATATGACTTGTTTACATCTTAGTAATCTTCTAGTAATGATATTACTGCTTGTATAGTGTCTGAATAGACTTTAGTAGTAGCTTAGTATTTAGTAGTAATTAGCTACAGATTAAGTGTTTAACTGATGGTTGATTTCAAACCTTTTGTCAATAGCAGTTAAAAACCCAGCCTGGAGGGAGAACTATCAAAGCCATCATCGGCAGTCATGGTCATACATACCACATTTTCATCTGTGAAATTCAGGCTATAGCCGCAATTCCGTGCAATAACAGTAGGGTCTATATCTGTCCAGCCGTCCATGGTGCATGTCCTTGTTATATTACCTACAGAGAGAAGGCAGGGTAGATTGAGAGGTCTTCTCTAAGGCTACACATCCTTTCAGACCGATGGCATTCAACAGAAAGGGTGGATAGAAACACCAGTGGATTTTTCAGATCTGAAGCAAGAGCGGACCTTGATTTTCTCCTCTCTTTCAAAAAATGATAGTACTGGTTATCTAATGGGGACAGTTTTGGTGGTCTACCACATATTTGGAATCCCATTTTCTTTGTATTGTCTCATTTTTTGAATTGTTTCTGTTTTATTTTTTACTTTTACTGCCTGAGAAATGAATAAAACTTGACTCAACTGCTGGTTTGACCAGAAATCAAACAATGGACGTTTGTCTCTAACTAAAGCTTCACTTTACACTGTCATGTGAAAGCATCGGGAATTCAAGAACTCAAGTCCTTCGACTGAGCAATGGATAAAAAACCATACAGAACGACTTTCAGCCACTGATGAGTCATTTCTCCAGCAACCACTGCAACATAGACACCAACCACAGCCACAGCCAAGGATAAAGCCTTTAGTAGATGTGAAATAATCTACCACGTTTTAAAATAAAGCACCACGTGGGTCTATCTAAACGCCGCAGCCACAGATGTCTCCATCAGTAACAGTTGGAGAGAGATTTGGAACGTCTCTGTCTCGTCCTTCCACACTTTTTCCCTTCCAAAGTTGTGAAACAAAACATCAGCGTTCACCTTTGGCTTTCCAAATCAGAGCGAGTTACGCCTGCTTGGATGAGGTTTTGCAGGCAGCTCAGGGTTCAGATTCTGCTAAATGTTCATGTATTTTACGGTGGTTCCCAAGAGCAATCAGAGCCAGAAAAACAGAAAGAGAGAGAAGAAGAGGGGCTGATTGAATTGGGACTGATTTACCATAACCGTCTGTGAAGATGATGAGCTCATCATCTCCAGAGTAATCTCCCTTTGCAAAGTGGAGGAGCCCCCCCACATTTTTTTATCTTATCTCTATCTGCTGCATTTGTATGGTACTGTATTTTATAACAGACAATGATTTCAACACATTTTCCATACTTTGAAACCAAAAATTTGCTGATGTGAAACTCACTTATATCAGAAGCCACCAAGCAGATGCTAAATTCTGTTAGAAACATTATAAAGGAGGAGGAGACAGTACACTGCTTAAAAAATGAATGGGGGAAGCTTGTGACGCACAATGTGGCATCTGTTTGTGGTGAAAGTCCAGCCCTTCGGGGTTGTGTAGTAATGGAATACACGTAACGACATTACATAATTAGGATACAAAAATTATAACTATGCTCTATTACAGTTACTGAAAACAGAGGCAGTAATCAGATTACAGGTACATTATAAAACAGGGTGATTACCAGCCAGATCACATCCAAATGCAAACTTGTCATCTTTCACTAAAATTCGCCATTTTAACGATAAATGTGTCATATGAGTCACGTAGATTTAAAGAATTTTTAAATTTGGGGGGAGGGAGGTGGTCCTGCTGCCAGGTGAGAATTCTGAAGAATCCTCCATCCAGCAGAAGTTCATGATTTTTATTCAGCCAATCTATAGAAATTTTAGTATTTTATTTTTATTGGCAGAACCAAAATCTGGATTTTAACACCACCAGATTCTACTGCAGCAGATTGATCTGGATTTTCACACCACAGTTTGATCTGGCAGTAAACTCTTTATTCCCATTTGTTGCTAAATAAAAATCTACAGTTTGACTGGATATCAGTCTAACTTTTGATAGTCCTAAGCTTAACCTGACGAGTTTAAACTAACAGTCTGAAATGTGAAAAGAAAATTTCATGAGCGGCAAAGTTAGTTTTGTTTTCACATGTACGATTTCTTTCTTCAACAGTTTTTGAATGATGAATGAAAAATGTTAATATGCTCACATTGACATTATTTGTAACTCTCATAGTTTTTATGTGAAATTAATGCCTTTTAAACATGTAGTACATGTTGATTTCTGATTAGGGAGCGTCTACAAATTATGGTCATCAAACTCTGAGCACGACGGACCAACATTAAATCTTATGAACCAGTACAGCCTTTTAGCAGACAGAACACAAATGATGGCCAGTTAGAGTTTTTAGAATGGCCTCTATTTAGGACTGCTGTTAATTGTTGTCTCAAAATAAGATTTATACAACATTTATCTTTTAACTTTGGCATGGAAACATGATTTTTAATAAATAAGGTAAATACGGTAAAGTCCAGGAGGGCAGTATAATTTTTAACCATTTTGCATTTGATCCAACGTGCTACATCAATTACTTGTTCCCTCCTCTGTAACAGCACTTTATTATCCTAATTTAATTTTTCTTTTTAAATTTGATTTTTAAATATCCTAATTTAATTTCTTTAATTTGATTTTTAATTTCTCCCTTAATTTACTTTTTAAATGACTCATTTGTATTTTCTCATTTGTAAAGCACTTTGAATGACAGCAGTGTATGAATGGCATTATATAAATACCCTCGCCTTGCCTTGTTTTGCCTTTTGGTCTCAGTTTACAGCTTGATTTCTAAAATACATGTCTAAACTAGTTATACTGTTACACAAGTTTGTCACCTTCATTACCCTCCCAAACCCTGCTGCTCTTCAATAAGCAGGGCCAATCGGCTTGCTGGTAAAGCCGTGAGTGGAAAAAGCCCTTTGTCATTGTCAAGACACAACCCAAGACAACCTGAAAAACATTTGTTGCATTATTTGAGCCAAATACTACAAACTATTTATATGATTCTTGTCAGACGAGACAAGAGCCTGGTCTTGTATGAGAGGAAATAACTGCCTGGATGCATTGCCAAGACGGCCAAGTGGACAGACGTTCCCTGTAAAGACTATGGGTCCTTGAATAAACATTTGAAATATGTCTCTATCAGTGGTGGACTGAGACTATTACAGCTAGACCTCCAGTTTGGGACAAAAACAGTTGAAAACAAGTATAGACCACCTCTATGATACAGCTAATTTGTGTTAGCACCTCTTAGGATTCTGGTAGTATGTCAGCGCTAAGCTAATGCCAGTTCACAATAACCATTTTTCGCGGACTTAGATTGAACTCAGACAGTCGAAGCTTGAAAAATTCATTTCATGTTTTATTTGAAGCTTGTAACAGACATGTTAGTCTATAGTTTACATTGTAGCAGTTTTACAGTGAGTCCTGACATAGAGCTGCTGTGACGTACGCCGATCAGACATAACATTATGACCACCTCCTTGTTTCTACACTCATTGTCCAGTTTATCAGCTCCACTTACTATATAGGTGCACTTTGTAGTTCTACAGTTACAGACTGTAGTCCATCTGTTTCTCTGCATACTTTGTTAGCCCCCTTTTGCCCTGTTCTTCAGGACCCCCCATGGACCCTCACAGAGGAGGTACTATGTGGGTGGTGGATCATTCTCAGCACTGCAGTAAACACTGACATGGTGGTGGTATGTTAGTGTGTGTTGTGCTGGTCTGAGTGGATCAGACACAGCAGTGCTGCTGGAGTTTTTAAACACTGTGTCCACTCACTGTCCACTCTATCAGACACTCCTACCTTGTCAGTCCACCTTGTAGATGTAAAGTCAGAGACGATAGCTCATCTGCTGCTGCACAGTTTGTGTTGGTCATCCTCTAGTCCTACATCAGTGGGCACAGGACGCTGCCCACTATTCTCAGTCCAGCAGTGACACTGAGGTGTTTAAAAACTCCAGCAGCACTTCTGTGTCTGATCCACTCAGACCAGCGCAACACACTCTAACACAACACCACCACATCAGTGTTACTGCAATGCTGAGAATGATCCACCACCCAAATAGTACCTGCTGGGTCCATGGGGGGTCCTGACCACTGAAGAACAGGGTAAAAGGGGGCTAACAAAGTATGTAGAGAAACAGATGGACTACAGTCTGTAATTGTACAACTACAAAGTTCTCCTATAGAGCTGATAAAATAAACAATGATTGTAGAAAAAAAAGGAGGTGGTCATTGCCTGTTGCATGTTATGCCCGATCAATGTATCTACAACTTCAAGAAGGTCTAGAATGATTTTTTTTCAAAGAAAATTTTCTGTTGTGTGTTTCAAGAATTTAACTACTTGGTTTCCAATAAAAACTTCACAATGAAATGAGAACTCACAGAGATTACAACAATAATGAAATAAAATTTAACAAAAAATTCCCCACACGTATCTTTTTGTTTCACAGAAACCATTAAGCCTTCTTTGAACACCCCCCCCGTCCCCCGTCCCCCCATTAGAACTGGAAAAACAGAAAAGAGAGAGATCCGAACTGGAAATAGCTATAAATCCAATCATGTTCTTATAATGTGTTACTCTTCTTTTGGAGTTAGTTAGTGACCACTGGTAGTTTTAACCCATGATGAGTTCCCCAGGGGGGCTGCTTGGTCTCGCTGTACTCAGCTAGTCATGTTAGTCATTAGACGCTACAATTATAGAGAGGAGGCATGAATAAAACATCACTCTCTCCACCTCAGAAAATACATCTCTAATTTGTAGGGCTCTCATTAGCCCTGAGGAACATGCTGGGATTAATGAAGGAGATGAGAGAAGACTTTAGAGAGAACTCTGAAGAGAGAAAAATCTCCAGCTTTAGGTTTATCATTTTATATGTACATACACATTTAACGAAATGATACTGTGCTGTGCAAAGGTCTTAGCCGAACCAGGAGAACTGTTTAAAGCAGTGGTCACCAAGCGTGGTCCTGGAGATCTACCTTCCTGTGGAGTCTGGTTCCAACCTCAATCTGCCTCACCTCCTCCAGATAATTGTTTGGCTGGATCAGATACATTAGTGTTAGGGAAGGAGGGGAGGCAGTATGTTAGATGCAGGTTGCAACTAAACTCTGCTGGAAAGTAGATCAGATGGAGGTTTAGTGACCACTGTTTTAAAGACTAGCAAGAAAAATATATAATAATTAACTAGAAAAGTAGAAGGAATGTTCTGTTTTTAGTAAAATTACAGCTATGATATGAACATACGTTTGCTTCCTCTTCCCTTCAA